AAATCTGTACTGAATTTAAATCTAAGAGTAGGTGAAGTGAAGCTATTCCACAGTTGCTGATGGCCCGGCTACGGCGGAAGCAGATGGGCTGCGCTGGACCTTATCACTCCAATAAGAGCCTAGACATAGGACATGACCACACCCCAGGGCAAGAGGCAGGGGTATCATAAGCCATCAAGGGTTCCCCAACCACCCACAAAGAAAACCGGTCTTCCATAGACCCGAGGCTGCCCCTATCCTACACTGACAAATGAAGTAGAGCCTACCCGGACTGACACTTTCCAGAGTGTGGATCTCCGGACTGTCTCAGTCCGAGCACCCTCAACGACCAAGACAAGCGTTCTCTCAGCCTTCAGCCCCAATTAGACTCCCTAGAGGGAGCTGGGAAATTGGTCTGTACTTATATGTGTCTTTCGGAGAGCATAGCATTTCGTAGCTCTTATTCTGTCACATAACAGACATGGCTTGATAAACATTGTTGCTACGTTCATGGTTACATTGATGAGACCCAAGAACGGAGAACATACCAAGTCCGTCTCATGGGCCGAGAGATGCCTGTCGTCACATCGCTGGCCAGGGATGCGACTTTTGGTACAAATAAAACAAGCTCGGTCAGAAGCAAGCTCGAGCTAGAGTACATATATTAGGGGTAAAAAAAAAAAGGGAATTCTAGGTGAAAAGGTAACCTACGCAGAGAGCAAATTAGCAAAGTAATCATCATGATTTTTACCTATCAACAATCGATGAGCGTGGGTTCTAAGCGACCCTGTTTCTTCCCTGCACCACAACAGTAAGCATGACCTTACTGTCCGCTTGGCACAAGCAAAAGACGGTGTGAGTGTTCGAGGAACTACCAAAAAAAAGGGAAAGAAATAATGGACGAGGATTTTGTTTCAACTGCCACCCCGGTTTCTTTATCGCTTATTTCAGTTACTGTGCATACTCACTTGCATAAAAGTAACATATGCTGATATTCATGATGATTGGAACAGCTGCATCTCGAGGAAGAGGCGACACGGTACGCTTGTCGTAGTCGTTGTATCCTTGGCGAACCCGGCTTTCGAAATACATGACTGTTTGACAAAACTGAATCCGGGTAGGTATATCGAAACATACTTTCGCATTTATTGTAGTCCTTTGCCGAGACGAAGATCGTGATACGGTACTTGGATGTTCTTAAGCCCATGATTTGCTGCTAAGTACTGGAAACACAGAGGTTTCCTTTCAACTTTCTGCAGTCATGACACAGCGTAGGGTGACCATTAGAACAGGCCATGCAGATGACATGTGATCCAGTCTCTGTCACCTCAAGAAGGCATGCGTCGCACGTCAAGAACTTCTTATCATCACAGGGAGCTTGGTCCTGGGCCTGCCCCCGCGCGGTATCTGTGACTAGTTGAGGGCTTTCTGGGGCATACTGCTCAAAAAGCTGAGTTATACAATGGTCTCCGGCCCGGTACAGCCAGTATCCCAGGCTTTTGTTGTAGAGGGTAGGCGAGTCCAGAGATGGTTGGTGGAGAGTAAGCAAGTATTTGGTCACTTTTGCATGTCGGTTTCTTGCGGCCGCAGAAAGGCGTCGAGCCGTGACTATCACGTAATTGAAGCATCTCCTTATGTCGGAGGGGCCAGCAACTTCAGAATACGGAGATGACCTCTTGCTGCGGCCAAAGCCCATGGCGATCGAAGCTTATTATCCAAAGGGAGGTTATCCCCGGGCAAGCTCCGGTGGAGAACGCGACAAATGATCACATATCCGTAATCAGCCGCATAAAAGAGAGGTCATTCCGTGGTGTTTGGGTCTCCCCTCGCGACTCTAGCTAGGGATGTTGGATACTCTTTCACTATCGCAAATTGTCATTATTCTTGGGTAGACCTCTGGAATATCAGTCGAAGGAGTCTTTTGTATCCGAATGTTGGGCTCAATCAAAAGCCCATCAGGTTCTACTCTTCGTCCTAGCAACAGCCAAGCCAGTTTGAGGTAGCCGAACCTAGCGGCCAAATGCAACGCGGTCTCGCCTAATATATTCTTTGCATCAATATTAGCCCCGTTCTTGAGAAGATATCCAAGTACTTCTATATGAGTAAACTCCGCTGCCATCAGCAGCGGCGTGGATCCAGCCCTATCTGTGGCCTCCAGGCCAGCCCCAGCTTTAGTTAATATCTTGACAACCTGCAAGTATCCTCGACGTGCGGCCCAACCTAAAGGTGTGTTTTTCTCCTTGTTGGAAGCTTCAATGTTCGCTCCCTTGGCCAGTAAGAATTTAACCATAAGCGGCGGCGTGGCAGCTGAGGCTAGGAAGAGAGGGCTATCCCCGTCGGCAGACTTGGCCTCTATATCGGCTCCCACTGAGATCAAATACGACACTATGGACTTACGTCTGGCCTGTACAGCGTGAGCTGGTGGCGTAAGTCCATTTTCATCTTGGGCTTCAATATCTGCCCCATCATCTACCAATCTCTTCACCTGAGAGGAAAGGCCAGCCGCTGCCGCCTGGTGCAGCGGCGTGATGTTACCGTGTGCAACACTCCTGCGCCGTCCCGCTGCTCTGCGTAATATCTTTGCGATATAGTGATGGCCAAGGATCGGGGCCGATTCAATTGGAGTTGATGAATACACGTCTTTTGCATCAGGACTTGCGCCGTAGTCGACGAGGAGCTGCACGATATTTGTGTCGCCAAAAGAAGCGGCGAAGTGCAATGGCGTCTTTGTTGTTGTTTTTGCGATGGAGGTCTCAGCACCTCTTTCAAGTAATATCCTGACGGCGTCGGTGTGCCCACACTTTGAAGCCAGGTGAAGGGCCGTAGAACCTCTCAGGTCTGGTTTGTTCATATCGGCTCCCCGATCAAGGAGTTGGGTTAGAACGCCAGCACGTCCATATATCGCTGCAAAAGTAAGTGCAGTCCATCCGTCTGTCGTCTTCTCGTTCAAGGCAGCCCCGTGCCGTAGTAATATGCGGACGCTATTGCTCAGACCAAGACGGGCGGCAAGCATAAGTGCAGACTTCCCTTCCTTTATCTTGACCGAGACGTCCGCCCCATTCTTCAGAATACTCTCAGGGCTCTGAAAGAACCGGAAGCGACAGCAGAGAATAGAGGGGTCCGACCAGATGCGGTCGTGGCCTCGATATCTTCCCCTTTCTCTAACAACAGTCTTATGCTGGCCGAATCACCGTTTTTGGCTGCCATATGCACCGAGCTGCGGCCCTAGACCTCCACTCCGGGGTTGGCTCCCCTTTTGAGCAGGAACTGGGCGACTTTGGGGTTGTTGTCATGCAATGCGATGGCGAGAGGTGTCCAGCCATAAGGACCTCTCGCCTCGATATCCCACCCGTACCGGACGAGAAGCTCAATCATTTTCAAATGGCCGATATGTGCTGCAGACTGCAGATTGCTTAAATCTACCAACTGACGCCCACCTTGCCCCAGCAAGATCCTGGCCAAATGGACATTGTCTTCATTAACTGCATATCCAAGGCCGTCCAGCCGGTGTAGTCGCAGTCCATCAACGTTGATCCCTTCCGAAGAAGAATTTTGGCCTTTACAATCTTGTTATTCCGGACTGTGAGAATGAGGGGTGTCTCTCCACAATCGTTCTTGGTGTTGAGGTTTGCTCCTCTGTCCAGAAGCAACTTGAAAATATCCGAGTGGCTGTACTTGTACTTTGCAGCCAAACAGAGAGGTGTGTTTCCACTGTTGTCTTCTGTCTCCATGTCCGCACCCTTGTCGAGAAGGAACTCCGCCATGTCTTTCAGGTCGAAGGTCACTACTGAGGAGAGAGCAGTTGCTCCTTGGTTGTCTCGAGCCTCGATATCGTCCCGGTTCTCTAGGAGAAGCTCTACCATGTCTTCGAGTTCGAGCGAGGCAGCCCAATGGAGCGGCCGGCTCATGCTATTGTCCTCTATATGTATATCGGCACCCTTCTCGATAAGAAATCGGGCCATGTCCATCCGCCTATCCATGCTCCTGCTGAGGGGAGTTCTCCCATCAATATCTCTCGCCTCGAGGTCGGCACCCCTCTGAAGTAGAAGTGACGCCATACCCACACTATTATAGATGACGGCGGCGTGCAAAGGGGTGTATTTACAGTAAAATGCTTGGTTGACATTGGCTCCATTATCCAGGAGGAACTCGGCGATTTCTAAAAATCCTTTTGATGCGGCGGTGTACAGCGGCGTTCTTCTGTCACACACCGTATTTGGGTCCGCGCCATACTGAGTAACGAGCTTAACGATGTCAAGACGCCCATTGTGGACAGCCTCGAAGAGTGCCGTTTTCTCTTGGCCCCAGGTTGCGTCTGGGTCGACTCCTTGAGCCAGAACAGATTCGATGGTTCTCACATGACCGCCTGCCGCCAGCAATGGCAGCGGGATTAATTCGGGCACTGTGCTTCTGCTGGTGACGTCTTCAACCTGCCCCGAACCGAGGTGCGTAAAGGCTGGGTCGCATGCTTCCATGATGACGATGGGCGCAGCGAATGAATTGATGGGCGTGCGCAACTAGTACACACACCATAGTCGAGGGTTCGGGCAATATCTGGCTCAGCGTCTTAGTAGGCAGACCTTACACACTTGGTTGCATTAGATGAAGGGGCCAAGTTTGATGCTGACACAGGATCATCCGCATTGCTCCATCTTGTCTTGAGGGACTGGCGCTTATCCCTTCTGCTGCTAAGACATTTATCCTACCCTAAACTTGGATTCACCAGTTGGTACAGCAGAACTCTTTTCGCGGAAGCTAGAGACCTAATCCTCATGTTGATAATATTCCAAACAATAATAGTATAATTATAAATTGTTCTATATTATTTAGCTTGATATTCTATCAATAACTGGGTCAATTGCTTTGATATTGTGTCAAAATGTGACGCCGTATAGAGGCTTTGATACTTGCCAGCATTCTATATTGATTGATCTTGCTAGAGCCCTTCGCTAAATTTGAACTACGTTGAGGGTAAGTTAAAGTAAAGGATATTAAGGGCAGATTGGAAAGAATAAGATCGAGCAGAAGCCGCCTTATCAATGACTTTAGATTCACGTCACTCGTGCGAGTAGTTCAGGCTCATACATCTTTGAAGACCACTCTCTGTCAGAACAATAGATTACTCCACCTCTTTTCTACCTCTATTTCCCTGATTATACTCTCTCAATACTCTCACTCCATTCTACACGGTTTGGAAAAGCGCTGATAGTAGCGGGGTAGATGCGCAATCACGGCTTTCGGTTGTTTCACGTTGATTGCATCCTCCGTGATAATTGGTATCTGGCTAGTCCCCGATCTAATCCTTGTCTGCCTCTAGTGCCGGGCCCGTAATCTGGCCATGTTCGTTGGGATCTGCATCTAGGATTTGATCCGTGTACGTGTTGTAAATAACGAACAAACAGCAGGATCATATGGTGTGCGTTGTGTAGACAGACCAAGCATACTTCTGGCAGACTCACATTCTCGTCCGGGGATTAGGCAGCATTGACACGGAAACGGTGCTGGGGGATCCGGCGACGGCACGGCAGTTGCTTTTCCGCTTGGTCTCTCACGGGTTGGGGAAGCGATGCGGAGATACGGCCTTTGGGATCGGTGTTTGGACTCGCAGGCGGGATGAATTGAACAAACTAGCGAGTCTGTTTCAGCCATCCAGTGAGTAAGACACCGTGCTCGCTAGAGTAGCATGCATGGCGGGGATTGTGCGGTTTATCTCGCAACAAGTTTTCATGCATCGTTCTCGTGCAGGGATGGGCGGGCTTGAGTAAACATGAGCTTCGTCACACAGAATAAGAGTTGAGTTCTCTGAACGGCAGCTGGCATTGTTGGATCTACGGACCCGGATTGGAACTGTGTAAAGCTCTCACATTCATCCAACACTCAGCTCTCCAGTATTAGCACGCTTATCCTGCACATCAGACTCTGTCCATGACTCTCATTCGCCCGTGGCAATGCCCTAAGCGCTGCTTACTCCTCCTCGGATGCCTTCACCATCTCCACTCTCCAATGCCAGGCGGCATCCAGGGTCGCATCCGCGTCTTTAGCTTGCCAACAGGGACCAGGGTGGCTCCTCAAAGCCGTCAATCAGCATCCAAAGCGCTGTGCTACGAGCTGTAAGGATAAAAAAGGAAGCGTGCAGTTGGGTGCAGCTGCAAGAACAAAATACGACTGAGCACTCACCCCCAGATCCTGGGCCGGTTTCGCATTGACTGTCGCTTTCCTTTCCCACAATTAGATTTTCCCTCATTGTTTTGCATTTTCCCCCTTCTCGTTGTTTTCTTTTCCTTTGGAGTCACGGAGGAGGCAGCAAGCAAGCAACGAAGCACTCGCAAACAGATGCTCTCCCCAACCATCGCTTGATTCACATCCGAGTAGCAAACCAATCCCACGCAACGATCCCCCAACGAACCATGATTTACGACCAAGTCATTGACAAACTCGGCATCACCTGTCCCGACAAAGGCTCATTTTACGTCTGCGACGACAAACCCACCAGATTCATCGGCTGCTGCACCGTCGACCCGTGCAAGACAAGCACCGGCGATTGCCCCGACGGCAATCTCACTGCTGCCAGCTTCCACCCGAATTCCTACCAGCGGATCGAGGGCCAGGACTGCGTCAGTGGCGACCCGGAAGTACAATGGTTTAGCTGTGCGGAAACGAGCCCTCCCTTCTTGGGGTGCTGCTCCGGCAATCCATGCAACGATGGCGGGTGCAAGGGCTCCAACCTCTCCGCCGCCGTGCTCAACCCCGACAATTCCAAGGCTGCGGCTTTCCTCCCCGATGGCTATGATCAGAACAAGGGTCTCTCCACGGGAGCCAAGGCGGGTATTGCCGTGGGCTGTGTCGTCGCCGGATTGGCCATCATCGGACTCGCGGCCTGGTGGTTCTGGAGGAGGAGAAAGCAGAGGAAGCAACAGCAGCCGCGGGAGGTCGTGCTGGGAGAGAAGGGCAGCAGGAGTCACAGAAATCATACCAGCCACATGAGTAGTTTCAACGGTCCGTCCCCTACTTCCGGACACATCTACTCGCCAGCAACGGACATGGGCACCCCAGGCCCGGACAGATCAACCGTCTACGATCCGTACGGCAGGGAGCACGTTGTCGGGTCTCCAACCGTGTCTGCCCTTACGTCAAATCGATCGACGTTCATCTCCGGCTACGAACCGTCAGCGCCGTCCATCAGCCCCTACGAGGGCTACTCCTCGAGCCAGCCGATCCCTCCCATGCCGAGCCCGTCGCCGAATCAATGGCACCCCAGCATGTATAACAGCGATCGACAGAGTCAGGTGGAGGCGTACCCGTACGCCCTGAATGCCATCTCGCCCATGCCCACTGGTCTCGAGAATGCGTATTATTCGCCGCAGCAATTCGATCAGCATCACTTGCAGCCGATGCCTGGAGTGCCGATGCCTCAGATTAGACAGCAGCATGTGGCTGAGCTTCCGGTAATGATGGAGAGTGAAGGACAAGCTTCGGCGGGACATACTCTGGCACCGCCTCGGAGAGCGGCAAGTGGAAAGAGGGGGAGGGCACGATGGGATAATACATATTTATAGCACGTTAATGAAATAATCAAGGATGATTCAAGATCGAGTTCCAGAATCGCGCAATTCAATTTCGAACTATGACCGTCTATTCTTGTCTAGCATTTGCATTGGCTATCTGATTTGTTCTGTTCCAGTCTGCAGAAACACGACGAAGTGATGGTGATATCCGCCGAAGCAAGGGCAATCTTCAAGGCCTGACCTATGATATGGGCCTCCGCCGTCCGCCCAAGACGCACCAGACACTCGTGGTATCCATGAAGCGCCCAGACGTTATTCGGATGCTGGTGAGCAGACGCGAGACCCTCTATGAGAGCCAGGTCTTCCCCATAGACCCTGGCTGCCTCCTCAACCTCCCCATTTTCAAGTAGCAAGGCACCCAGTGCGTGACGGGTCGGGAGCATCCAGCCCCATGGCTCGCCGTAGTTCAACGCGTCGTCGCATTTGACGGCTGTCCGTAGGTGGGCGAACGCCTGGTCGAAATTCCCGCGTCTGTATTCCATCTCTCCGTCGAGCATGGCATGGGCGACTTTGAGAATATCCACCACCCTGTTGGGGAACGACAGCCGCGTGTTGGGCACCTTGGCCAACGCCTTGTGGAAATTATCCCGCTCTTCTTCGGCGTGTGGCAGGTCATCAGTAGCAGCATAGGCGATGGCCTTTCCGTAATGGATGTTGGCGATGGTCACGCAGTAAAGCTCCTGGTCGGTCGGGAGCGCGAGGGTCTTGATCTCCTCCCACATTCCAAACCGAATCATGACATGGACACGGACCGCATTGAAGCTTTCGCACCACTCCGCCATCGGTGGCGATGTCGTACGGAGGAGAGCCTCTGTCAGAATCGCCTCCATGCGATCTGTGGCATCTAGGGCTATGGCGCGTCGACCGGCAAGCATGGCGGCGTATATCAGAGAATGATGATCGTGTAGCTGGTAAATACGATAGAAGGGGAAGTCTTGCTTCTCGTAATACTTTGCATCGTATCGGATGGCCCTGGCGTTGGCTGCGATGGCCGATCTGTAATCCCCGACCAGCACATCAATGTGACTGGGCATGTGCTGCAGGTGTCCGCTGTCAGTCACCAGCCTTCGCAGGTTGTCGGCGGCTGGTATAGCTGCCTCGGGAGTCATGGACATCTCCTTGAGATGGATATACAGGTGGAGGAGGCCAGGATGAGAGTCGGCGCCAGGGAGGGAAATCGCACGGTCTAAGATCTTCTCAATCTCGAGGACAGGCGTCGCGAGGTTCGGCTTTCCGGTGCGCGATTCGTAGAGTGACCAGGGCGCCATATTCATGAGCGCATCGGACACGAGAGCGAGGATATCCAGGTCGTCTCGCACGGACTTGCGTAAGACCTCGCGCATGGCATCGGCGTACGCAGCAGAGCAGGCCAGAAACTCGGCATCACTTGGATTCTGGCCCTCGGGGAAACGAACCTGGATGGCATCGATCAGAGCCTGTTCCGCCTCGGAGGCCAAATGCCGTTTGTCCAGCGCTTTTCTGGCGAATGCCCGGCACCGCGGGAGAGAGATAGCCAGATCCTGCTGGTCGAATGCCTTCCACACCTTGTTGTAGTTTGGGCCGCCGGCATAGGCGACTCCCCAGTAGCCGATGGCGCAGTCGGGGTCGTGGACCGTCACCTGTTCGAAGCAGCGGCTGGCTTCGGCATGGTTGAAGCCAAAGGCCCAGTTGAGCCCGCGGTCGAACCAGATCTGCGCCTCGCGGTTGGACGTGGTGATGGTGCGTGAATGTTCGCCTAGGTAGAAGTACTCTGCCGAGGCAGGAATTTTCTCGGTAGGGTTCTGATCGGCACTCATGCTGTAAGAAAATGCAAGACGAACTTATGATAGCCAGAACTGTATCTAGAGATGAGTAGCGTTAGATCCAATGCTCGAGGAGTGTGGATGTGTCAGGTAAGACATTGTGTCGAGCTGGCTAGTCATGATGAAATCATTCCCCGCTTCATGCAGAATATCGAGCTACAGGAGTAATCATCTAACTTTGCGTTTATCCCAAAAGCTTGTGAATTCTTCCCTACAATTGCCGATATAATATTAAAGACCTGTGATTCTTGTCCCTTGCCCCTATCACCAACATCTTCAGCAAAGATGGATCGACTCAGCTTCTGCCCGACATATTCACCGCGGTGAAAGCCAGGGCACTCCTCTTACTGGTCTTCGGCGCTGGGTCACATCCGCTACCAAGCTTATTAGCTACTGCTAATGCTACACTGAATGATCAACATGGCGACTGCTGCGGGCCAGAAGTGAGGGTGAACGAATAATAGTTCTTTAGAAGTGATTCTACTACATCCGACTATAATTTTGTAATTCATCATTAGAACGGGTCATTTTTCTCAAGTCCACCTAGAATACATAAGACTAGAAAGGTCAGCAGAGGTCCGTGATAGCAAGGGAAATGCACTTACTAGATCATGCCATGCAACGCCGGCATACTCAGACTCGCTTTTCCCGTAATGCTCAAATCCCAGAGCTTTGTAGTACGGAACGAGGCGGTCATATGTCAGAATGGAAATTCTCTCAGCCGCGCCCCTCTCTTTCATGTGCTTGAAGTAGGCTTTCATCAGGGCCTTTCCGAAACCGGATCTCTGGTGCTGCGGGGAAACGGCGAGGGAATGCAACGCGATGGTCGTCCCCTTTGGTTGGTGACCGACCGAGTACTTGGCCTTCGGGTCGTTCTTCCATTCGGGAGGGAAGGCCATGTCCTCGTCTCTGACAGGCTTGTTCTCCGACATGGTGGAAATGACGTGGGCAACTAGCACATCGCCAGGAGACGAGTCCTGCTTCGAGATGATGGGAATATCCTGTTGCGCCACAGAGGGAGATGCCTGTCCTTCCCGAAGGAACAGACCGAAGCAGAGCTCGGGGCAGACAGTCAAGCGATACTCGATCTAGAATTATATCAGCCGTTTTATGTTCATTAAGATCGCTCTAGCCGCGATGGCTGCCGTACCTTTTCGCGAGTAGCAGCCTCAGCTGGTGGGAACGCAGCCGTCTCGACGACTAAGCTGCGTTCAAGATCACCAATATCCAATTGCCGAATATAGAGTGCCATTTTGGGAATGTGCAGATGCAGTACAGGTGGTAATGGTGGTGTTGTCGACGTTTGATTTGCACGTACAAGCGCCGAGGACTTTTATGTGTCGGATCTCGGCTGGATCGAATGCTCCAGACGGCGGTAGAAGCCAAGAAGGCCACTGAAACTGTCAATCTTAGGGCGTAATATCAGTGGGACTAATCATGAAGGCGCTGAAAATTGAGAATGCAGCATCCACTCAACCACTCAACCACTCCACCAGACCTGGATCAGGGTTCAGACTACGGGCAGAGAGACAAATCTTCCTGCTTCTCGTAATGTTTGTATCTTGATTTGAATAGACATCTAAATGCAGAATCTTGTACGGGAGGGCATCTGGGTCAACGATGTTTGTTCAATAGAGATGGGACGCTTGGAGAAAATGCGCTTCAATCGAAAACTTCACAGCGAGCCCTCAGTGTTATTCGCCCATTGACTCGTCTCCCAACTTTTAAATTCTTGGTCAGAAGAGCTAAAAAGCGTCCTACCATTAAGATGACCCATCAAAGTATACAGGTCATGAGCTGTACTACACCCTCCGTCATGGCTTGGAGTTATCCAAGAACTCAACTCCATAGCCACTTCCATCCCCTCTGACAACATCAACCTGTACTACTTCCATCAATTCGCCGCCTACATTTTCACCTCCAAAGTGTTCGCCCTTCTCCGGAACAGGTCTTGGCCTCTCAAGGAATACACTTTGGACCCTCTTTGCGCTCTGCAGAAACCTGTCCTTGATGGTCGGATAGTCGGTATTGGTGAGCTTACCATCCCTCTTCACAAATTTACCATCCACAAGGACATGCTCAATATCGCCAATACTTGCGTGGAGAATCACAGCCGCTACCGGGTCGTTCCAGCCAAGCATCGATGGAGAGGTGCCATCCCAGACGAGCAAATCTGCCTTCGCGCCCTCTGTGATCACTCCAAGATCTGGACGACGCAACGCTAGACCGCCGTTCCGCGTTGCCAGCAAAAATGCTTGGTTGACGGACATGGGGTTGTTCGATGGCACTCTCCAGAGTTCCAGCGGTCCATTGAAGATGAGGTATCGCACTTTCTGTAACCATATCCGAGCCTGGGTCAGAATATCGGCGGAGAAGGTGAAGTGCGTATCAACGCCAAGGGCGGCTTGATCCGTCGCCAGATGGCTGCGGGGATGAGTATGGCCGAAGTGCATCTCAGACTCGGGAGTGATGGAGATGTACTGGTTTGCTTTCTTCAGGAGTTGAAGCTCTTGGTAGGTGAGGAATGATGCGTGGGAAAACACAACCGGGATACTGGAAGTGAGAAGCCCTAGCTGATCCAGAATTTCTGGGCTGTTCGAAACTAAAAATTGTTATTGAAATATACACTGCATCTATTTGGATACCGCTTACTTCCCAAAGGTCCTTGGAGAGTATGAGTAGTGACGACCGACACATTGAATTCGCTAAGTCCCGATTAGTATAATTGATTCACACCATCGTCAGTTTCTGATTTGCTCACGTGGCCAAGTTGACAATATCTTGAACTTGCTCTGCTGGGTCTGCCCCAAAGTAGTCATAGGCTATTCCGAGGCTTGTGGGAGTGTTTTTGAATGTGTCCCTTTGTGCAAGATCTCTGAAGTTCGCAAGCTGTTCCGGTACGGTAAAATTCGTCACATTGTGAAACGCATACGCCCAAAAGACCCTCGCTCCGCTATCAATGCTCGCTCGGAGCCCTGCCTCGGATGTCTCGTTTGACCATGTGTGGTGTGCGTGGTCAAGGACGGTGGTAACCCCAGCATTTACGGCCTCGTAGAGACTTGCAAGCTGGCTGAGGTACACATCCTCCGCCGAGAAAACACCAACAGAAGCAAACTCGGAGAATCGGGCGAAGTATTCCCACAGCGTGGTATTAGAAGCCAGTGTTTTAACGCTTGTCTGCCAGCCGTGGCGATGGGTGTCGATAAATCCCGGCGTTATGATCTTGTTGGTGACATTGACAACCTCATGTTCTGGGATATCAGTTGGAGTCTGCCCGCTTTGGTAGATTCCTGCGATACGATCGTCGGTCACGAGCAATGAACCGTCTCGAATAACCTGAAGAGCGTTTTCTCCCTCATCGAAAGCGATGATGGTGCCACCTGTCAGTAACGTACTGTTGGCTTCAATTGCTACGAAATAACTCGCAGCATAGAGTATCGCCAAGTGACCGAACATGCTGAGAACAAGCCTCCTATATCGAGGGATCTTGTATTAAGTAATATACCTTTTAACGAAGAGAAACAATGATGAAACCTTTTACCCCTCACTCGCTATATAAGAATGATCAGGTCTTATAGAAATCCGGGTAGAAAAAAGGGTTGGGCAATGCCCCTCTATCCCCCACACGACGTCCGAGCCCGAGCCCGAGCGCGTGGCAAGGATTAACAATGCATTACTTTTGCGGGGAAGCATGATCTGACGGAAGTCTATGAGAACATAATACCACATTGCTGATGAATCCGTGGTCAGGTGACGGAGACGCGCGCGGTTGGTACCGGATATACCGGTTGAGTTCGTCTGCTTGTCAGCAATCACTTGGTACTTCAGTTTTTGAAAAGTTTTACGGTCATATGAGTACATTAGAAGTGGGAGACAATGCACCAGGGGTAGTACGGGTGGGGAGAAGAGAGAGCTGCTAAATTGCTGGTTGGACTCCTGGTCATGTTGGAGGCGGACGATACAAAAATACCATAACACAACCAACACGTTCCTCAAAAAGGGTGATAAAATGCGAGGGTGGGCCGGAAAACGATTTCATTCCAAAGCTAGGATACTGCTAAGCAAAGGCTTCATTGGCTGCCCAAGTTTGATGATGTTAGTCGTAGAGGTCTGGATCTACATCCCCCTCCTTGGCCGCATTTGGCGCTGTCACCTTAATCCCACTCTGGGCCCTGTCTAGAGTCAAGAGATATCCTTTGTTTGTGCACCAGCTGTGCGCCATCTTGACCGAGTTCTTGATCTCTCTACCGTTCAGTTGCCACAGGGATAATTCCTTGATATCATCGTCGTCAATAGGTCGCTCAGTGGACAGTGGCGCACTGGTATCTGCCAGGTTCTCTTCCTCCTCTACTTCAGTCACACTCTCTTCTGAATTCTCGTCCTTCTTGGTAGTAGTTGGCGGAAGTCGTTGGATGAAGTTGCGCCACACAGATGCGCGAGACTCTCTCGAAAGCGCTGGAAACACAAGATGCAAATTAACCCGGCTGCGGAACGCTGTATCGATGGTATGGTACAGATTGGTGGTTAGGAAGAGTATGCCACGGAAGTACTCCAGCTCTCGCAGAAAGATACTGACGAGCTCGTTGCGATGAATATCGTTGGGGTTGCGTTCCGCCATGAAGACATCAGCTTCATCAAGGAGCACGACTGCCCCCCAGTGAATGGCCATATCGAACACGCGCTTGAGATTCTCACCCAAGTTGGCTGCGCTGATTCCAAGATCCTCCGCATGTAGGTGATAGAGGGGCCGCTTCGCACGATCAGCCACGGCCTCGGCAGTGAGAGTCTTGCCAGTGCCAGGTGGACCGGAGAGGAGAGTGATCAGACCCTGGCCCTTGCCGACAATGACATCCTCTACGGCCATTGCGGCGCTGCCATCTTCATAGTTGGCGTTGGACACGTGGTTCTCCACGAAAGAGAGGACGAGATCTTTCTGGCCCGCATCGTACACCAGGTGTGTGAACGCTTTCTCGTTCCAAACCATTGGCTCAATGTCTTCGATATAAAACAGAACTAGAACATGGTATTAGCAAGACTCTTGTTCCTATTCCACCAGTTAGTATAACAGAATACTTACGCCATTCTTTGTTTCGCAGAGCAAATCCTTCAACGAGGTTAGTCGCAAATGCCAAATCCTCCTCTCGGCGCAGCATGGCATCTTTATTCTTCTGCTGCTCTGCCACGGTGAGGGTGCGGTTAGGATTTGTCTTGGGCTTCTCTTCTCCCTTCTCTTCTCCCTTCTCTTCCTCCTTCTCTTCATCCTCGAACGAGCCATAGCCGCCTCCCAGCTTGATTACTCTGTTCCTCGCCGTTTCTGGATCTTCCGTCTCGCGACTGCCCTGCGATAGGAGGAACCTGTTGTATCCCACCACATCAATGAGCACACGGCCTTCGACATTGTGTCTCTTGGCTTGGCCTTGGCAAGTCTGTATGCCCAGACCGTTGTAGCAGCAGTAACGAATGCCTTGGAAATCAAGCAGCTTCTTGCCCCGGGCGATGCATCGCGCCTTGATCTTGGCGGCATCTGGCAGCCACTCCAGAGGGCAATGAGGAAGTTCAGTGATTGGTTTGTACCCACTGAAGAAGGGGAGAGGTAAGACTCTATCTTCCCAAACGTACTCTCTTCCGTTGAAGGTGAGTGCCTTGCCTTCGATCAGCATCTTGGCCCCCATCATGGTAGTGCTCTCCACCTTGATCAAGACTTCCGAGTTGATAGAGTAGCTGTAGACGCTCGACCCCTTAGGGAATAAGGTCCAAGCGGTTTTGAAGTCGACCAATCCGGTGCTCTTGATCTGCTTCTGCTTCACCTTTAGCTCGGTGAACATATCGTCCAACACCCGGATCAGTAGCTGAAGAGGATTCTTTAGAGTACTCGAATCCTCGAGAGCTTCATATGTCGCTTTGATCTCATCTTGACCAAACCACAGCGCGCGAGAGGGACAGTCAAAGACTGCCGGACAATTCGCCGCCAGGATCATATTCTCCTTCTTCACGATCGGGGTGAGCGCGGCAATGAGCAACGGGTTCTGGACCTCGATCTGGTAGTATTTCAGCGGAGCGCAGCCGGAGATGGCCGGCTTGGTCTTGTCCTTGACCTTGTAGATCTTGATGGCTACACGATCGTGGACTCGCGCGGCAGCCTTGGAGAGCTGTCTTGGCGGGTAGTCGACCCAGTCATACAGGCCGAGCTGCGACTTGGGCCCCTCGAAGAAGGTCTTCACGCTCGCATCTGCACCAAAGTTGGGACCTTTCTCCGGAGAAGCGACTGGCTCCTTGAGCGAAGGATTTTTCTTCTCGTCGGTAGGGATCTCTACTTCAGGTAGAGGCGCGTTGATATCCAGCTCACGGTAGGGTCGGAGTTTGCATCGCCATTTCCAGACGAGTTCGCGAGCGTGTGAAAGCACCATGACTTGGATATCCGCGGGCTGCTTCTTGTCGAGTTTAAGATTTGGACTGGTTGGGCGTTGATGTGGGCAAGCAGATCACGCAGAGTAAGACGGACGACGAGATAAATAAATGAAGGAAATGCAAAGGACAGCAATGAAATGATAAGGATTGGCTCTCCCTGTATGATGATGGCCACCATCCAAAGTGTAAAAACAATAAGCGAATAGGGTCGCGAAGGACTTCCAGCCCCTGCGCAGTATTCACGTCTGCCTGCACTGACAGACAGCTCTAAATTCTCTGTTTCATCGCGCAACTTTTTCCAATTGGTTGTAAAAACCTCTAGGCCTTGACTACCTTTCAGCCGCACATATCTTCTACGCTGGTTCATTCCGAGGACAGCGGGAACACGACTTAGAAGCCACTACCAGCAATAGCTTGCGTGTCTAGACGTCGAATGAGTCTTTCGTCCAAGGGCTATGAGATATGCTTGGTAAAGTGTGATATCTGTTCATGGCGTCCGTTTTGATGCCTTTGGATTGGTGCATTGCAGTCTGCCTCCAGTCTGCCTTGTGGCTGCCTAGCCGAAGGACCTTCGTATTTCACGCCGATCAGCATAGGACTGCAGCCTATAGGACTTAGACAAAGACTATGGACCACATTTGGCATGGCGTAGCTGAACAGCTTATTTTCTAAATAGGCGATAAGATTCAAGGAAGCATTGCTGTGGCAAATGTTTCAAGAGGTGGAGTTTAATGCGCATTCCCCTATCGAATGTTTTTTTATATTGGTAAAAGCTCCTTTCCTATTCTTACAGAATAATAAAGACTTTGGAATGATTGTATCTCGGGGAATCAGGCCCCTGGTTTGATCTACATACTCATGGCTTCGATACTGATCATGTCACCCGCGTCCATATGTCTTCTGCAGTAATATGAACTTGCACATCCAATATGTCAAGGACACAATACCAACACCTGTTCGAAATGCACCTTCGGTCGTTCTGTTTCGATTGCTCTCGTCCTGACGGCAAGTGAGTCATCGGTATGAAGGTTTAGGGACTTTTCTTCCGTATGACTACATCATGGGCTATGAAAGGCTATTTTTTAAGCTGCCTATTCATTGTGTTGAGATGTCGGGCTCTGGCATCTTCCATTACCGTCGAGCTTTCTACTCACTTTCTCCTACGTGTCGACTGCTCTTACGGTTTGAGTCAAGCGCCTTGAACCTACCAACTCAAGATGTCAATTACGAAACTATAACCAGTGACCATCATCTACACCATCCTGACACTCCCCCCTGGCAGATAGCAAGCTATTTGCATAAATCTCATGGTCGAAAATCAGAAAACCACTTTCCAAATCATTCATCTTAGACATTTCATAATAGGGGATATCAATGTAATTGTTTTTCCAATACGCTATTCGTTTCCATTCATGTCGTCATAACGCTATGCAAAGAATATCTATGGATGAGTTGTGGTCTATTTCGTACACTTTTAAAGATCCCCTGTAGTGAATCGAGAGTTGCCATTTTCTTGGCGCCAGCCCTGATTGAGCTGAATCAAGACGAAAGTTCGCATTCGATTAAGCAAGCCCGCAAAGACAATACTTTTTCCACTTGGCCGTACTCTTATGGCCGCTGGGCGCACCCGGAAATCCAGACGTTCCCCGGGGTGACGGTTCCTTCCAGCCGCTGGATCTCTGGGCAGTTTGAAGACTCAGTGAATGTTCTTCTTCTTTTGAGCCCCGCTCCTTATCTGGGAGAGGAATGTGGTCCAGCTCTTCGTTCCTCTCGGCCTTCTTATCTTCGACATCCTCTAGTTTGAGATCTGGGATCGGCTTCCTGGCTAAGAACTTGGGCTTGCTTTGTTGAAGATGCTGTTGAGCTGAGGGGTCAATCCGAGTTCCCATCATCTCCTCTAGTTTCTGTAGTCGTGTCTTGCTCTCGAGGGTTAGAGGATTAGTCTCCCCTAACTTCGCCCTTCTTGCTCTCACGGCATCTTCGTAGACGCGCTTCGCATCCTCGAACTTGTCTCTGGATTTCAGCACCTCGGCAAGCTCATACATGACGTCGATAGTTTCCTGATGCGCGATATCATATAACTCGGTCTTGTGCGAGATGACCTCTTCGTAAACATGCTTCGCATCGTCGATTTTCTCTTGTCGAACAAGTGTGTGTGCCAGGTCAATAAGAAAACTGTCTAGCCTGATGAGATTCTCGCGCTCCACGAGACAGGGATTGAATTGAACCGTTGGCCCAGAAAGCGATTCCTTCTCTCGCTTGATGAAATCCAGATAGCAGAACTCGGCGCTCACATACATGTCCATTTTGAACAAGGTAATGGCAAGATACCCCATCGCACGACACTTCTCACCTTCGGTCTCAGCGAGGCGCAAGTTCTGCGCAACCACGTGCAGCTTTTCCTGTTCGATTTGTTCTTGGCTTGGTTGGCGTTCTATTCCCGGTAGTTTCGATTTCAAGATTGAGAGCTCTTGCAGAAGCCACGCGGCATCTTCATATTGGCCTTTTCTCAAATGCTCGTTTGCCTCAAGCTGAAGCCTTGTTTCTTGTTGGGCGAAGGCGCCTTGGTCCACCGGAGCTTTTGGCTCATCTTTGGATGTCCTGCGATATCGTCTCGGGGCAGCACCATTTGGTCTTTTCAGGAACCCTCTACGCTGCAATCCAGTTGCCGGTCCCATATCTGTGAGATCTAGGCTTTGACTCTTTTTATGTAATGTCCCAGTCGACCATGAACCAGAAGCCGGCTCAGCCAGTGAGAACGATGCTTTGTGAGCCGGCTGGTTGAGATCAGGCTGCTCTCCAGGGACTCCCACTTTCGGCTTCGCATTTGGAATTTGCAACTCCAGCCCCTCATCGTCTTCCAAAGCGTCCATCGGCTGCGTCTGTGTGTCCCAGGTCCCAGACGCTTCTTCCTCGAACGCCTGTTGCATCCGTGAGGCCAGGGTATGACGGAAGAGGTTCGTGTAAGACCTGCTCACGGCAAGACTATCGGAGAACTTGAAGACAGGTGATTCGGGCACAGCCATCATGATCCACGGGTGAGACAAGGCTTGTTTTGCCGTGAGTCGTTCCGATGGGTTGCAAACCACAAGTGAGCTCAGAAACGCAATGGCCTGCTCACTGACCTGCGCATCTCTGAGTACCTGCACCGGGAACTGGCCGACCTTGAAGTAGTATCCGTACAAGTCTTGCGTATTCTCAAAGGTAGGCCGCCCCGTGAGGATTCGAAAGATGGATTCCCCGACGCACCACATGTCTGCCGCGTAGAGATCGATAGACTTGGAGCTGCTACCGCTGATATTCAGTAGTTCAGGTGGCATAAAGCCGTCTGTTCCTCGAACGGTCGTGATCGGGCTGGGGGCGGTTTCTTCGTTCCGGCTTCGTCGACTGATGCCAAAATCGCTTAATTTGACTACCCATGGATCCGGAGGTCGGTGTTTGATCAGGATATTCTGCACAAGAGTCCGTCAGTAAGATGGGAGGACATATTCGTTAGACGCTCGGTTCATACATGTGGCTTGAGGTCTCCATGCGCAAAGTTCTCCTCGTGCATTCGTGACAGAGCATCCAGCACTTGCGAAGCGATTTCGCGAGTCTGATCTTCGGGTAACCGTCGGTCGGGGCGTGTCTTGAGATATTTGTGGAGGTCGCCGAGTTCGCAGTATTCCATCGCAATGAACAAATGGTTGTCGCTCGCGTACCAGCCGTAGGTCTTGACGAACAGGTCATCGTACTGATTTCGTCGAATACACGTTTAGCTACGTCCACGGTACAGAACAGGGGAGCGGCTGTGACTTCTTACTCTGACTTGGGAGAACTTAATGATCGCTTCCAGCTCGCGGACATAGAAATCCCTCCTAGATCGCAGCTCCTTGTCTGATATCAAGATCGTTTTGACGGCGCGCAGCTGCCGCGGCCCCGGCTGATTCGACCTCCTGGACTGGACGTCGACGCGTCCGTAGCCGCCTGAGCCCAAGTGTTTCTCGTGAACCCATACATCCTGTGTTTCCTTCGCGCGCCGGTGGGCGCCTCCGCGCTTGTGGACAATGTAGGACTGCCGGCCGTCGGTGTGGAATGTCGCATTCAGTCGCGAGTCGCGTACAATCTCGGGGAGATCAGGGAGGCTGTTGAGGTACGCCATTTACGCGAGGAGTCGCGATCGGTACGCAACCGGTCGGGGAGCGACGTTTCGCGTGCTGTTGCGAAGTTTGGAGCGGCGGTTCGTACATTTGTCGAGTGTGTAGAGATGACAAATTGAAGCTCTCGCTGGAAGGCTCCTCAGCCGCACCGTAAGCGGAGATCAGAGGATCAGCAGGCAGGCATCCTGCAGATGTAACCGTCCAGGTCTATGAATAGCCCATGCATCGCTGCGACCGAAAGGTACTGGCATCCACCAGGAGTCGGTCTTCTCGTTACCTAGACAGCGAACAGTGGGCGGTTCGAGACATCCCCAAGCTGAATCGGTGCTTTAACTAACTTGCACGCGTCATTTGGAGACAATCCAATATCGATCTACGTAATCGGCATCTATAATACGCGAAATACGAGAGTCAGGCCAGCTTGATCCCTGTTTGCGGGGTCGATCCTCCAAGTTTCTTACCCTAAGCATGAGTGTCAGTTGCCCTCGAATGATGATAAAACATGTTGATAATACATTCAAGTCACTAATTGCTGTGTTAATATATGTTGTTGGGCGGTTAAATATGTTTTTTTTTTGTCACACTTATAGGAAGAAGAAGAACTCGGCTTCCAGTCGACTAAGAACATGTTAGGATAGGAAGGCCTCGTCGTTTTTGGAAGAATCAAGGATGAGAGAATGAGCTAATATCAGAACGTCTGACCGTAAGTTTCCGTAACGTCTCAATCAGACCCGTTACGCATATAACTAGCGGTAGATAATCTATTCATAGATGGGTAAGATATTTCTTTCCTTTTGAGCTGCGTTTAAAGAGCCTCAATGTCGATGCAGTGGCGACTGCCCAGGCATGAGCAGGTCTTGCCCCTAGCCTGGAGCAAATCTTCTTATTGTAATTGTAAATCTTTCGTACGAGGCGGAGATATGACTCTACGTCTGTATCCTTCCCATTCCCTAGCCATATGTAAACCTCATCCACGCTCCTAGGTGCTTTGAATTCGAGATACGCTCTTCTGGGGAAATGGTGGTGGATCTGGATCATTCCGTCTCGGCGAGCTGCTAACTTCTGAATGTCTGGCAAGACTGGACTTTCAAGTAACTAAACAATGATCTTCAATACTTCATCAAAGAGATTGGTCAATAAACCATTAGATATAAGGCTTGAAAAGCATAGTATTTCGAACGGTAAGGGCCCGGCCTCGCCGCCCAGAATATCTGGCTCCTTGTCAGCAGCGCAACCCTTAAGTGGCTGCGAGGCCCTCAGAAAAAATACCCTCCGAAGGCCCTGGTTGTGTCAGGTTTCGGTGCGATCTGACCCCCAAAGTAGGCTTACATCAGGATTCTCTCCCCTACCATACACAGAACAGTCTCCATCGCAGCGCTCAAACGAACCCAAAAAGGCAATGACTTTGCCACCCCTGTAAGAGCTTCAGCCCTCCTCTGGAGCCAGAAAGCCAAGACTGCTGAGGCACTGTTGGTGCCACAGTCATCGTCAGGATTGGCGTCCTCAGCCGTGACTAATATCAGCCTTTCCCTCCGCATCGCAAGCAAAAACATCCTATCAAGTTGTAGCTATACGTTGACAAACCTCCGGCAATCCATCTGCAAGATCTCCTATTGATTTCTATATGGCTGAACTCGGCCTCGCCATCGTAGCCACGGTGGACCTCGCCATAAAGTAGGTAGCAGCCATCGACATTTTCCCCGCACAATCGTGGCCAGCCCATGTAAAATTGAAAATTCCACTGACTAGAGCCTGTGCGTGTAGATGGGGAACCCAACTGGTGAAGCTATGCAAAACCTATCGTGATTACAATATCACTATCCGAGACAGTTCCCTCCAGTTCGAGATGATATGGCTCAAAGCTCAGAAACAGCTTGCGTTCATGAAAGAACTGGAGCATGTCCTCGACGAACATCACCGGAGTCTCAACGTGCAAGCCACTGACCGGCTGAAGACGCAATTTGAAAATGCCGTTCGCAAACTTCAAGAGTAATTCTAGCATATTCTGCACCCCATTTATGCCCATTTCCTTCTGACCAGTTGGATGCCCAAACAGGTTCACGGTGCACGACGCACAAGGAAGCGGAGTGCTGGCGCAGATAAGGAAGAAGGCGATTAAGTGGAAGTATGCCATTGTTAAAGAGACGGTCGATGCGGTCATTGAGGAGCTCCAGAAATGGCAGGCTCTGGCTGATCCAAGCTGGTATCTGATGTTGAAAATGGCAAACAGCCAGATTGATCAGACACTCCGTTCGAACGAAAAAACAGCCACCGACGCTTTCCCAGAGACGATGCGTATACGCCAGGTTACCAGATCTACGAGCGCCTCGCCCAATACTGGAATCTTCCTCCCGGCAGGAGAGCTTGCCAAGATGACGATATCGGACGTCCCCATGAGCACTCTGCAGATGGCTCATCGGGCGACTTCTACCGGGGTCCAACACCTCCTTCTCACGACTGTAGAGTGCACGGCAGGTACCGATGTGAACCAAAAGGCCAGGGAAGTCAGGGAGCTTGCACGGAAGCTCTCAGTCAATGATCCCGCCACATTCAGCCTACTATCATGCAAGGGCGTGATAAAACGAGCCACCGACGCTCCCAACGGGCAGCCTTTGGTCTCTTTCACCATGGTGTTCCGGTCGCCAAACAATGCAGCCGATACAAAAAGTCTACGCGCAAAGCTACTCAGTATCCATGATTTCGTGTCCGTGTCCAACAAGATCACATTTGCACGACAGCTGGCCAAGTCTGTCGCCTACGTCCACAACTTTGGATTTGTCCACAAAAGCATTCGGCCTGAAAACATAGTCATATTTGAAGGCGAGGGTAAGGAGCCAGCAGGGATGTATTTGGCCGGCCTCAGCAACTTCCGTAGGGATGAAGGAAGAACCTACCGCCTGGAAGATGGAACGTGGGACAAAGATATCTATCTTCACCCACAGCGACAGGGTCCGCTCCCCCGCGAAGACTACCAAATGCAGCATGATATATACAGCCTGGGAGTCTGTCTATTGGAGATCGGCTTTTGGGATTCCTTTGTCCGGTTTGATGCCGACGGGAAGACAACTACAGCAACATCCATGCTACATCAGTTTTCGGTGGATTGCCAGGCTGGCAAAACCACAATCCAAGGCTCCAAGGAATATTTCTTGAACCTCTGCAGGAGCCAACTGCCCCGTTACATGGTTGGACGGTACTGCGAGATTGTTGAGACGTGCTTGACCTGTCTGGACCAGGGCAATGTGGACTTTGGTGATGAGAGCGAGTTCCAAGATCCCGATGGTATTTTAGTGGGTGTGAGATACATCGAGAAGGTGAGTAAAACTACTCCCAACAACTGTTGCAAGACTTGAGATACATGGGCTAACAGACTTAGGTATTGTCTCGCCTAAATGAAATCACGATCTAGGCTCGTCGTCGGTCGGTTATGATAATGTGAATTACGAAAGAAAAAACCCTAGGATAATAGGAATGGCTCAAGGAAATATTTAGGCAACCTATCACTTGGGTATCGAATTTAGTCATTGTGGGAAACAGAACGGAAGCCCAAACTATGAGTTATCCTGGGAGCTTCAGAAATGGTTTAAAAAAATAACCGTTATGTCTCTGTAATTGACTCACTCCATAAACTGCATCGCCACGGCGTCGCCAATGAACCCACAAACCCTCGTGTATGTCGCCATCGAGAATCGAGGCTTGAGAAGACACAGACACACATGGCAAAAGCTACTTGGTGGGGTTTGAGCAAGGGCGAAGAAAGTTGAATCTCTCCAAGAAGTTTCACGGTACGATTTCTGCTTATTGGATCTTTGACTCCACGTGTCGGCTAACAAGATGTGATTTGCTTCACTGAAAACCAGATTTTTCTTGTCTCGGAGTATGGTTTTGTCGGGCTCCGGCGGTCGAGGGATCGACACGTTTACATCAATAGTACCAAGCCACACAGGTGTCAATCAATCAGTGGGCAGCAGCGGATGCGCGGTGGTGAGACAAAACGCCATTCTCAGCTCCTCATTTGGGATGGGTGGTCAATAGCTTGTTTCATCGCCGTGGCTGTGGCGTAGATGTGTCTTCGATACGACCTAGGTCGGAGTAATATCATGGGCTGGACCCATGAAACTGGCCTTCCTTTTTTTTCATAGATCACGGAAACAGGTTCCCTGCAGCCAGTAGTTGGCATATTGGCCAAAGGGATCGGCGTTCCCTCGTATGTTCATGCAGGCTGGGGTAGTGTTACATGTCTGTCAACCAATATTGTTGGGGGAAATTCATGCAAGAGCGCTTTGACCTTTATGCAAATCCACCCCGTGCCCTTTGACGCTGACCACGTCGCATTCTTGCTTCAGCTGGATGGTGTTGGTTGCAAAGATGCGCCGTGCTTATTAGTGGAGTCCTTTCTCTTGTCTTAAAGACCCGAAGCCCAAGATGCGAAGTCCAGCGGGCGTAGCAAAATCATGCCTAATTGCTATCCCTCGGATTTACAGTCTTCGATTCACGGGCTGTCTGACCTATCCTTCCATTTTTGTTCACCACTCTATCAGTTAATGTAATTCCAACATTCTATCTAAGCCTGGCTTTGTGATCTTTCAGCACTCCACCATACCTGATTGAAGGTTACATACAATGTCTCGATTTACTCCTGGCGGAGAGTTGAACTTCATCAGCTGCCTGGTGATGCTCGGCACTAGTTCTCTCTTTGTGGGCTTGAGATCATATGTCCAGATTCGATCAAAGCAATGCGGTTCCGGGGCAGATTGGTTTTGTTTTTCGTCTCTGGTGATCTTCACGGCTTATTGCGCATATTTACTGACCCGTAGGTAGAGCCAACCACGTTGACCCCTTGGTGAAGCAATGGTCGTCTAAGGACGCATGTAAAAGCATCTAGCTAACGCAGCTCAGACATTCTAGCCGTGCCAGTGAAAGGGGCTTTTGCAACTACTCCCTCCACAAGCCCTGAAAAGGCCGAGAGTTTGATGAAGGTACAGGCTATCACTAACTCTCCTAAATCTGTCTTCGTGCTAATGTTTCGTCCCTGCAAGATCACATTTGTTTGCTCAATACTTTTCATCAACGGCACCACACTGGCGAAGCTGGGCATTCTTGCAGGCTACAAGGCCACTTTTGCCATACAAAGGCAGTACTGCCATATCATTATGGGTTTGGCTGCTCTCTGCATAGCCTGGTGGGGGTGTTTCATTCTTGTCACCATCTTCCAGTGCAGTCCAGTCCAAGCAATGTGGGATATAAGTGACGATCGAAAAGGATGCCTGCCTGTGTGGAAACCCTTGCTCGCAGCTGAGATATCCAACCTGATTATTGACATCATGATTTTAATCACTCCCATCCTCGCTACGTGGAGGCTGAACTTGCCTGCTTACAAGAAGTGGGCGGTGGCTGGAATCTTCCTCGTGGGGGGACTGTAAGTCAACAAGCCTTATTTCTTACCAATTCCTTCTTTCGTTATCCTCTAACTTTAGAGTGCTAAATAAGCTAATACCTGGCTTCTCTAGGGTTTGTGCAAGCAGTATACTCCGCCTGGTGTCTATTGCGCGTTTTGGAAACGAATTTGGTTTGTACCACCTAATTAGGATTTTGAAGACTTGAAAATCTAACTTTCTGGACTTTTGAAGATGATAGATCTAAGGTCATGTTCTACTTGACAGTTCAGTTTGGGTTGGCTATTATCTGTGGCTGTCTTCTTCCGCTAAATGGCTTGTTTTTCCGCCGGAACAAGGGCGCGTCAAAGTCACGAACCAGTGTCTATGATGCAACATTTCGCGAGGATCATGTTAGTATACCTGCATACAAGCTGGCAGGTCAATTGAAGAAATCGAAACGAGGGGGAAGCCGCGTGCTGAGTCTTGCGAGGTCATGGGCTGGCCATGATGAACGCCAGGGTGAAGAATCGATAACTCCTCCGCCTGCTGCTCGAACTAACCGGTAATTCTTACATGCATTAATGTTTATTGATCGAATATCACCCATGGACAGTATGTTATATATGTCAGCTCAGTGTGAAATTGCATGAGATGGGCGTGGCGATAGAGCGCATTTTGGTTGCGGAGATGTATTACAAATTCCCGTTATATTCAGCTCCATTTTCACGGCTTCATGGAAATGCATACTCAAAATATTCTTTTTACATTTCATCATGAAATCTCAAGGCACATCTGAGCACGTTAAGCATACATAAGTGAAGCCTTCTAGCAATACTCTTTGGCTTCGCTTCATAGCATGCGCAAAACTCTTTGGCGAGAATGCGAATCGCCCTCGTGCCGCACAAGTCACTGACGATCCTTGGGCTGATCTGGATCATATCCCACAAGGCAATTGACGGTCTCGTTACCCTCACCGGAATCATTGATCTGGTTGCCGATTGGTGAGCGCCACTGGCCAGTCAGCTTGATATATCCGTCCAGCGCACTATTGAGTGTCTGGCCGAGCTCCAGGGCAGCCGAGGCTCGTGAATGTGAATAGTATGTTAGGAGGCTCTGCGTGGCATTGCGGTCATCAGCGTCAATCAGGGCTTGAGCGGCCTTCTCAACCCAACCACTGACTTGGTCACGGGACTGTGACTCGAAGCCGGTGAGCATCTCAGTCACAGTTGGCATGTACCTATTTGGGTCGGAGCACATGTAGTACAGAACGCGCTTGAATACCCGTCCTGCAAATATCGAGGCCTCCTGTAGTTCGTAGTCGGGGTTTAGGAACGAGCTGGAGGCTCCGGTCGTCAGATACCGGTGCTCGCCAAATTCGGGAGTGATAGATTGGACACCGAGCCACCACGGAACAAAGGGCGCAGAAACAGATCCAGTAGGGGCGATCCAAATTCGGAGCAGGTCGGGGTTGATATCGGCCCGCAGGCTCACCACCTGGCCGTAACCAGCCTCATCATCGGCAATTCGGTGGTCACGCACTCGTTGTATGAGCTTTTCTTCAGTCACAGGAACCATTTCACGGGTGGCATCTTCCAGAGCAGCTTGAGACATGAACTTGTATCCGCCGTCGCGGGCTTTGTACCGAGGGTCCTGAGGGCCGTAGACGTTGAAGATGTTGAAGGGTTTTCCAGAAGTCTCATTCCACCACCCTTGCTCGATGGCAAATGAGACGATATTGCTAGATCCCATGAAATCAGGATGTCCAGTGAAGTTGGTCGGGAAGTCTTCGATATATCCAGGGTATAGCACTTTGATATCATTGGGACCTAATCGCTGGGCTGCCCACAGTTTCGCACCGCCAGCCATTTCCCAAACAACCCATCCCTCATCCTTATCAGCGATGAGATGCGAGTTTCCTCCGTAGGTCGATTCTCCATATTTGGCAATCAAGTCGCCGATGATCTCGACACCATGGCGAGCAGTGGTGGCCCTTTCCATGACTATCCGCGCAAGGTCACTGTATTGCAAGCCATGCTGGGGATTTGGGGTCATGTCGAGCAACTCTTGACGGTTATCAGCCCAGACATCACGGACAGTAACGCCCTTTTCATTGAGGCCGCCGTTCGTCAGAGGGGCAGGAAATCCCTCGTAGTCGGAATACTCCATGCTTAGATATCTGAACGTGTGGTTGGCTTGGGGAATCTGGATGAGTTCTCCGGGGAAGCTGGCTGCCTCTGTCACGCCGACACTGATTGTGGCATTTGGCGGGTGATCTTTGGCGGGAAATAGCTGCAGCCAGTGGCTTGACACCTCCTCTCCGGTGCCACCGACGAGAACACTTCCGTCACTGGTGAGGTTCTTTCCAACGTAGAAGGCATAGCTGGCCGTTGCGGGAGAAGCGAGCCACAGAGTGACCGCTACGATGGAATTGCGAAACATCGTTGGCTTTGGGCGCTTCGCCTTCTGACACAGTCGAGGGTATGAGTAGCTGCGAAGAAGTCTAAATACCCGTGGGATAAACAAGCGAGTATTAAATACCGCTCCGAGCAGGGTATAAATGGAGACACCAGTTCCTGAAGTCATACTAACCGTCGAATACTGGTCGATCATTACTCAGTTAGTGCTTCATTCCGTGGGTTAATTTTGATTATCGGCAAGTAATACCGCGTATCATCCAGACCTCCGGGACCTAGACCCATGCTCCTAACGATCTCAAGCCTTTACCAAATCCCGCTCAAGGTCCGGCTGCGTTTTCCACCCCTTGCCATTGACCTTGTCTGGCTGAGCCGCGCTCCCTATAAATGCCTGCTCCCGCCCCTACGGTTTTCGCACTTGAGAAACTTATGGTCTCGCCGAAACACGAGACCATCTCCAGTGTGAGAATCCCAATGGAATTCCCAAGGACATTAAACGAAACCGTTGCTAATAGCTCCGAGCAGGCAATTTACGCACCGTTCATGGCGCTCGGATTGGACGAGGCCTCGCGAGAGCCCGTTGATCTTATTTCCTCGGGTCAAGTTTCCGCACTGGGCGTATACGCATTCTGAGGGACCTTTATAGTCGGCGGCACAGCAAATCTCGAAAATGCAAGTGGACTTGGCTGTTCGGGCTGACATTGAGAGTGTCGGGGGCGGGTCTCTGTCGGAGCCCGAAGTCAGCCCAAAGCCCGCTCGGCCATTGCTGATTCAAGCCGGGATTTTATGTTGAAAAGCTTCGCGATCGGAGCTCACAATTGACACGTTTAACTTTTAACTAGTTTTACTCTTACGCCCGATTGAACGCTCGTCATGGATTCGCCTTCACCAGCAGACTCACCCAGCACGTCCCTGTCATTCACCTCATGGAACGAAGACAAGCCGACGACCATTGTCCTTCTCCACGGAGGCTTTACGTGCCGTCTCGAGTTTGCGCTCGTCCTTCCGGGCCTGTCTAACTTCCACGTCCTTCTCCCCGACCTGCCATTGCATTCCGCGTCGCGCCACATCCAGCCGGGCACGACTGAGAACTCGGCCCGGCATGTCGCACAGCTCATTCGATCGCACGCCCACGGCGGAAAAGCCCATGTCGTCGGCGTCTCCATGGGCGGCTACATAGGCCAGTGCCTCGCGTTGGACCAGCCTGACCTCGTGCTCTCGTTGTTTGTCTCAGGCGCAGCGCCAGTTGTTGGCAAGCGCTTATTCATGGCGCAATGGACAAGATTCACCTATTATTCTATGTGGATCACGCTGAACTGCTTCCCTATCTGGCTATTCCAGTATCAAGCTTCATTTTCTGGCCTCAAGATCAGTGACGAAGTGGTAGTGGCGATGAGGGAGAACATCACTTGGGAGCTGGTCTCGGACATGTTCCCATGGATCATATCGTTCACTTTGGACCACGTGCGGCAGTTGAAAGTGCGGACCTTATCGGTCGCCGGGGCACAAGGGGATGACGTGCCCATGATAGAGAAGACGGCCGAGGCGTTGAGGAGCAGGCGGACGGACCAGGGCGAGGCGTGGCCTGAGGATGGGTCAGGAGCAATCGTTTTGAGGGAGGCTACACATGGGTGGGATATGCAGTTTCCAGAGCTCTTTGCCCGAGGAGTATCGGCTTGGGTTAATGGAGAGAAACTACCTGACGAGTTCGAGAGGCTTTAGTAAAGTAACTGCAGAAAGCTGCTAGGTAAAATGTCGTCGCGTGATTCGTTTCTGAATCTCATTTGTTTACGGGAAGGTTGATTGGAAACAATGGAGGGGGGCGTATCTTCAGAAGTTGGCACATACGCACACAAGCAGCGAAATATGATACCTTGGCTGAAAGGTCGCTGGATCTCCCTTGTATTGTATCGTTGCCCGTGGGTGTACACTGACTTCAATGATTTTTATGCGAGAGCCGATGGCGCGACTCTCCCAAAACACCACACACAGTACCTCAGAAAACTCTTCCTCATTCGTAGCGATCCCTGTTCTCGCGATCCATGTCGTAAGTTCAGCCAATCATCCGACACTTCTCAACTACCGCCTGTCCCACTCATACAAATGAGCGTCATCGGTGACAGCGGAACCCACGGGCATCCCTGCACATACACCTGTACCACAGGCTTCTGTCTAGGCTCCTTGGTGAGACTAGAACTAAGCCATCATCATCACCAGCTGTCTGCCGTCAAGACAAGCGATCGCTGCAGACCTGAACTGGCTGTCCCGCGTTAAGATGAATGATCACTTCGTTGCCGACCTAGCTGTCTGTTGCTGTGGGATGAGATGGCTACGAACCTGACCTACCTATCTACTATTATTACAAATGAATTTCTTTACCTAGTTGTAGCTGTAGCTATAGCCCTGATCTAACTAGGAAGAGGGTATAGCCATGATAGCCCTGATAATATGTGGGATTTCTGACAGCCTATTCGGCTTCCAACAGTATACGAACCTAACAAGCAAACCACTTAAATAACTATTACCCCTCTAACAACGTTCCCAAGCAACCCGGAATATCTAAAGCGTTTACTGCCAGCAACAGTTTTGGTCATGGTGTTAGCGGTTAACAGGCTTGGCTGGCTATCCCTGGTATTATCCACAAACCCCTGCGCGCAATGGCAGCTCGCAGGTGATATGGTCATCTCCGCTGAGCAACATTTAGTGTACCAACTCAGAGAGAAATCTTGCGTGTAGCCGTCATAGCACGCATTGACAGTAGATGGAGAATATTTGGGTATAGTTTCGTTAAATATGCTCTCGTCGCTGAATGAAACCGAGCTCGGCAATTGTTTGGGGGGAAACCACGGAGATTACCTATGGTGAGATTTTAGTACCATTCCGGAGATCAAGTCATAAAGCGGCAGTTTCAGTACCCTATTTTGGGTTAGCTAGAGTGTATTAATATCCTCCTCACTCTTATTGCTTAAGCAAGAAAATTATATCTAAGCTGCGCAGCACAGAGCAGAGTTTTATTACACTCGGCCCATTCTCAAAATGCATTTCATCAAGACTTTCGTGTCTATTTTCGCTCTCCAAACGCTTGCAACAGCACAGCTGGCGGATCCTGAACTTGTTGCCCGCAATGAGTACCGGGTCGCCCGTGAGAATTACCTTGTTGCCCGTGACGAGTTTCTTGCAGCGCGCGAGCTTTATCTCCGCGCAGGTGTAAGTCTAACATCAATCCGCAACTCTTTGTACCTTGATATTGATATCGGCTTTAGGGTACTGGCAAGTGCGAGAGGGTGAAGAACGAGCTGGTTTGCGTGCCTTCTGTGCCTGTTAAGAAGAACTGGTTCAAGCCTACGCGCAAAACGCTTTGCCAGTGGCGTATGAACCCCGGCGATCTGTGTTACCTTTAGGCCTCGCTAGGCCATAATCCTGGTCAAAATATACTGGATATGTGTGGTTTATATAATATTGGATGATTATATTCCTTCTGGCAGCGGTTCATGTAATACATCACAGTCACCTCCAAAGTTCAAGTTGGTCTCGCGACAGAACAGCTTGTAGATGGAGGCTTTCTATGCTCTGGTCGGCTTAAAAAAGCAGGCGTCTACGGAAAAATCGAGGCTATAGAATTCGTTATCAATGTAACTTTTAAAAGACTAAATCGATAGATGTAGGATTTACTCAAAGCAAAGGCCCTCTGGGGAATTGATTACCCTAGTGTGCGACTATATGGTTCTACGAACTGTATTTTGTATATTGCTGCAATGGTAGGTATGAGGTAGGTTGTTAAGGCGAAAGATGAAGCAAAGTTCTCCAACTGGCGGGTGTAATTTCGTTCAAGTTCGTTCAAGTTCTTAGGTAAATGTCTATTTTCCTATCTATAAGGGTGTGGTATTCCACCACGTTGATATCAGCCATGATGTGTGTACAAGAGACGATGGGACGAGAGCTTACACTTAAAATCATGCAAATTTCACCATGCAACCTGTTTAGGCTCTGCTTACTAGTGGTTTGTAGGTCAAGCCTGTACCGCTTCCACGTCTAGATGCAAGATGGCTTTGGAATATCTGATCTTGGTACTCTTTCTTGCGAAACATAAATGATGTTATGTCGCAGTCCGATTTGTCGACGGTCATCCTGCAGCTGTCCGTTGCCTCGGTATCGGCAGTAAACGGGGGAAACTAATCTCCTTACGATACAGTCAGAGGCAGAATTACTTTCTTCTGCACTCTAATCTCTTTCCATGAGTCTAGAACGAGAATTCAAGGCCATGAGCAGATTTTTATTTATTTATTTCTACGGTATGATAAGTCAGTACAGCCAAACTGCGTCGCTGGTAATTACAGGCCACATGCTCGAGATAATTTCATGCACTGGTGTGTGTATACAGATTCAGAGAGCGCATGAATAACATTCACGTCTAATCTGTGTTTACGACTTTGAAGATTCCAGTCAATGTAAACTTTTGAAAAGTAATAGAAAGTCGAAATATATATTATTCTTTGGTGTCAATGTATAAGAGCTTAGGGAAATATCACGCATCGGGATGAATATTTTGTACTTTGAACACTCGCGTCTACTGTTGCGGAAGAAATGTCGTGGCTTACCGCCGAAATTAACCTATTGGCAAATTACTATTCTTGAAAAGCATTTACTTCCTGCAAATAAATGGTTGTTATTACTCTTCAATATTATCAAAGAAAAAGACAGCTAGAGGTCACGGATGAAATGAAGAACAAAGCAAAACTGTGCAATGTGTAGGGCAACCAGAATTTCTGTTGATAAAGTTGAAATGTACTGAGGTCTTCTGCTCCAGAGTGGCATAATAAATAACCCTGTCTTAACTCCGTGTTAAAAATCTTGACTATCTTATCATTTTTTGGGATCAGAAACTGCCTGGTGTTCTAGTTTTCTAGATGGAGCTGTCGATATCTCCTCCAGGTTCTTATCATTAAGGTTAATATTTGAGTTATTAAGAAAACTAGCATATCGGCTTACCAACAACTGCTTCAATCAAGCCGCCCACATCTAAGTTTCTTCGACATCCTTCGGCTCTGTCAATCCGTCTTGAGGTTGCATCGGATCTAGACAGCGTAACGTCGGTGATAAAGCTTACGAGCAATGAACCAATTATTCCCCTCGACTCTTTCTCCGCCTTTGACTATTCCAGTAGGGTGAGCGGAACTTTTGCTTATCTCCAATAAGCTCCTATGCCTACTGGTTTGCGGTATCACGATGGCTGCTTGTCTCTTGCCTAATTCCTACTAGGTCCATCCATCTGATGCAACTCAAACCCCGGACAACGTCGATGACCCATGAAGGGGTCAGCATGCCAAGAATTGGATATCGATGGTACCATCATCTACTACATGACTCTTGTTGCTACCTGATTGTCGGTGGGTGGCCTCTTGCGGAGAAGGCATTATTGAGCGATTTGTCCCCTTCCGCTGTATTTGGGTACACGACCCTGTCCGTCCTGCGTACCTATTTGGTCGCTCGGTTCATGGGAACGAATACGGGTAGGATGTGATTCAATAAAAGAGGGGAGAGGAACATATAAGTATCGGTACCCTCCTTATTAGATCAGTATTCTCTTCAATCGATGAGCTCATCCCATTAGTAGGGTGAAACCATCAGTCATTCTTGTCAAGTTCAGATTGAGTCTGATTAGCACCATTCTGAACCATGCGTCTCTCTTCAGCCATCGGTGTTGCCATTATCGCGGCGGCCAATGGCCCCGTGATGGCCAAGGAATTGCCAGTTGACGAAGCAAGAGCTGCTAGTAGGACCAATTGTCATCGACCTCGGCTAATAGAAGCGGGCTAACCATGCGTACACAGGGCTCTATGACTCCGGAGTTATTCATCAGGAACTAATCTCCAAGAAGATCGTATGTCACTAGATTCGGTAATGAGTTCCTCGCTCCGATAGCTAACGTGACTTGGTAGGCACACTGGGAAGCCGAGATGGAGGCAGGCCTGATGGCTAGTGACCAGTTTCCGCGTCTCAATGCTACTAAATGTGTCAATGGAATTGCCGAAGCAATCTCCGGAGACCCTCTACACACCTTCAAATGCAAGAACGTAAGATTTCCCAATGCTTGTGATCGAGTTTCCTTTCAACTAATCATATTGCTAGATGGACCTATTAGACTTCATCAACCACGAGGACCTTGGCTCCACCGGCTACTACCAGAATATCAGGTCTGGAAGCTCTACCTGGGGCTGGACCGACCCTGAGTCTGGTCGGGAGTTTATTGGTAGGTTTCGGCACCAAAGGACCTGGTTAAGCGCGCTGTTACTAACATCACGATCGAACAGCTTCCGGTGTATACGATGGTGTGAGCTTCATCGAGATCCTTCCAGAGGGCAGGTTGTTGCCCCTTGCCTTCCTGTAAGCAACACCTCGCTTGTTCCAATTATCCCTTTTGCTAACGCGTTGCTTAGGCCGAAGTGGGCGAATCTTGCTAGCGGTGCCTGGTGGACTGAAATACGTCCATACAAGCACTACATGGTCATTGGAAGTGAGCTTGTTGGCAACGGTGTCCAAATTTTCGACATGACCAAGCTTCTCCCTCTGGACGGCTCTAATGGCATCCATCGGTTTACCAACGCCGAAGACCTCACTGGCCATTTCAACGAGACCCTTCCTGTTGGTCGAAGCCACAACGTTGTGATCAACGAGGAACTTAACTACGGCGTTGCTGTGGGTGTTCAGCCACGAGACCAGGGCTGCATGGGTGGCCTTCACTTTTTCACGCTTGATGATCCTTCAAACCCAATTTCCTTGGGCTGTGATGGCCAGGACGGCTATACACATGATGTAAGATCAATCAATCTTCTCCAAGCAACTGGTTATTCTATTGCATTCTAACTCCTGTCAGGCTCAATGTCTAGTATACCGTGGACCAGACGAGAAATATGTTGGGCGAGAGATATGCTACGGCTACAATGAGGATACTCTTACAGTGTACCACTTCCCTTCATTGAATGATCTCTTCAATATCCGAAGCTAACGCTGCGTCAAGGTTTGATGTCACAGATAAGAGTGCAGTTACCATCATCTCCCGGATCACCTACGAGGGCGCCACCTTCACACATCAGGGTTGGGTCAACGATGTCAACAACCAAGAGTACCTCTTCATGGATGACGAGTATGATGAATATGACTTAGTGGGCCCAGCGGCTGATGGATATCCTGTGACTTATATTTGGGATATCCGCGATTTGGAAAACCCGAAACAGACGGGCCTGTTCAAGGCAACCACCCGCGGCATTGACCACAACCAATACGTCTGGGGTAACTACATCTATCAGTCCAACTACGGAGCCGGTGTCCGAGTCTACGATATCTCGTCAGTGCCTTCTGATCCCACGGGCAACAGCGTCTGCGAGGTTGCCTACTTCGATACCTATCCCGAGGACGACCAGGATGAGGGCAATGGTGCCATCAAATTCTCAGGGTCGTGGCACTCATACGCCGGCTTCAAGTCCGGCTATGTATTCATCAACACTATTGAGCGCGGCGGGTTTCTCGTGAAGCCCACCAAGTATGCGCCGTGCCCGGCCAAGACATGCAATGCCGACAACTGCCTGCGATCATTGCGCGCTGAGAGTGTTAGCGGCCGATTGGAGGAGAGCCAGAAGTTCTGTGCTGACTTCACGGATGGTTGGAATGCGCAAGTTACTGATGTGCCTAAATATGCCACGGACGCTTGCACAGGCAACGTCATCAGCCGTGTCTCTTCGGCGTGTTCTTGTCTCCCAACACCAACGGCTTCTTAGTTTGTAAGCGAGGTGCTGGCATTCATGTAGTTTAATTGTGAGAAGCACTGTAAATCCAAAAACATATAATGAATATCGGAATGTGATGAAGAAAACCCACCTCCGCAGCCATCCACCTGGGACTTATTGAATAGATAATCAGTAGTGACTTAATAGACACTTACGGCACGCAAATAATGAAATCAAACCATGAGGTCTAGTATTACTGTTCTAGCTTGATAGAATTTAAATTATTCGCCTAGTCTTGGTAGGCTTGTCTGGCGTCCTGTTGATCGTGGTGTGCCTGCGTACCACGCTTAAGCAATGCTCTACCGAACGCCCTCCTGCCCCCCTGGCTGGCTTTGAGTTCGATCTCCTGGATTTCTCCTTGTATTAACTTAGTTTTATTATAAGTGGAGAGTCTCTCTTTTCCTTCTTCAACACAATAAGCAAGTCAACAATAGTGCTTTTTGCTACGGCCACTATACGATCGGGTTGACTTCCGTCTGTTTCTCTCCGCCGCCAACCTTTTGAAACACACTTTTGAGGTGTAATCTTCTTCTCGGCAGGATTTTATGGATTGCAGATGACTCTAACAGAAGTATTTCTGCCACCAAATCCACCTGATAATCTTTCCCCTGCTGCAGCTTTGCCGGAGACATTTGGTTCACGACGTCATCTTATTTGACCGATTTTGAGCTCAAGATATCATACTAAGCTTCTCATCATGGCTGAAGAAGGCACCGCCATTCCTCTGGTGATGCCGATAACACCATACGATGACGTTCGTGATCCCATTCCCTGCCCACAAAGCAGCCCATTAGTTAATGCTGAATAGCTTCATGTTGATTTCAATCCTGAAAGCCAAATCATCACCGAGATGATGACCAGCGATGAAATCTCCTCAGCAATTACCGTTGACAAGATAGTCACCCTTACCTGCACCTTGGCTGCAACCTCTTCCGGAAGCGATTTAGATCAACATGCTTTGAATGTCTCGCACACACTTCTTGCTATTGCAATGCGCGTACCGCATGATAAACAGTCCAAACTGGTTGACTTTTGTTTCCGCCTCCGCCTGCATACTACCCCTGATCCCATTAATGGTGGCGCTTTGTCGTCTTTGGGACAGGATGAAGATTTATGGTCAAAATGGCCTCACTTGGAACACGTCGTGAAGGAGTACGAGTGGTCAACCTGTGAGTTTCTCCAACGAAGTTCTAGTAGTGATCCTTCTTTCTTGCGATGCGTTAAACAAGAGAGAAATCGAAAGATTGACGATATTTTCTAACTTTTATATGTAGCTGTTTATGAAAGCGAACTAAGCGACAATCAGATATACCAAAATTACACGGCCTGGCGTGCTCAACTATACGAATTAGGGTTCTTCATCCGGGCGGAGGAAGCAGACTACACTTATATTCATTTAACGTGGGTATTGGGTAGAAACTATGACCATTTAAAAAGGAGACAAAGCGTACGGTTGATGTGTATGTGGTTTATTTATGCCCCCAACAAGATTTGCCTCGATGTTCCGTTCCTCCAAGGGAGTCCGCTCCTGAGCCAACTATTCGGAGGCCATTTCTGGCAAAGTTGGAGAGACTTTTTCAAGGGCTGCCAAGAACTACAAGGTCTCGGATCACAAGATCTCTTGGATGAAGACACGCAGGAGCTGATTAGGCGAGCGCTGGAAAATATGGAGGAGGTTGAGGCCGAACACGCGATCAGCTCAGGTGAGCTGTCCATCACACAGAGAGCAACTGATTAACCCGTTTTCCCGTCCCTCGTACTGTGTCTCTTCAGCAGAAGTATCCGATATGAGGCGAAAATTCAAAATACCTTCCATCACAGGGCCTACATTGCACCTTCACCAAGGCTTGCATCAGAAATTTTCTTTGTTTCCTTATCACTTTCAAATGTAAACTATCCCGAAGGACACAAAATCAAGCTAGAAAATAGATGATATGGTTATTTGACTTAGAGACTAGATCTATTTTTAATTGTTTTCCCTTCTTGAGATTTGACAGGTCCCTCATCATCTCCGAAAAAGACTTTGATCGGTAGCCAGTCATCGTTGCCCACCTTGAATCGATCAGGCAGGGCGTCGAGCTTTATCATCTCATCGTCTGTCAAGTCCCATCCATCAAGGTTGAAGTTGTCCTGTATGCGCGAAGCCGTGACTGACTTGGGGATGACATCCCAGCCATGCTGAATCCCCCACTGCAGCAGGCATTGTTGGGGAGTCTTACCTTTGGCCTTCGCGATCGAGAGCAAGGTTGGGTCTTTGTAGAGAGGCGAGTTTGTGCTGCCCAGACACGAATACCCGGTAAGATGAATGCCCTTATCCTGGCAGTATTGCACCAGCCTAAAAGACGGGTTGTTCGGGTGTAATTCGATTTGGTTCACGGCCGGCACAATCTAGAATCAAGTCAGCACGGTTTCCTTATGTTTCTTAACGCCAAGCAAGCTTACCTTGCACGAGGGGTGATTCAACAGCTTCTCCATGTTAGTAATACCGAAGTTGGAGACGCCAATGTTCCTAATTTTGCCAGTGGCAAGCAGTTTTTGCATTTCGCGCCATGTGTCGATGAAGTTCCAATCTTCATAGTGGGCATTCTCCTTGCTTGGGTCAGTGCTACAAGGCCAGTGCATGAGCCACAAGTCAAGATAGTCGACGCCGAGGTTCTTCAGAGAATCCTCAAGCGCTTCAGGTGCGCGCTTGTGGTCTGGGTTATTCAGCTTGGTGGTGATCCAGACCTGTTCGCGTGGGATTCCCGAGTTCTTTAGGCCTTGCCCTACCTCGGACTCGTTGCCATATCCAGCTGCCGTGTCAATGTAGCGGTAGCCTGCCGCAAGCGCAGCTTCGACAGCTCTGACAGTTTGGTCTTTGGTTGACTGCCAAGTCCCTAGTCCAATGGCGGGGATCTTGTCGCCAGAAGCGAGGGTGTATGTTTTGCTGTGGACAGGTTAGAGGAGAATGATGGCTGGTTGATGATAACCTCGCCACTCACCTTGAGTTCTTTAGATTAGCCATTTTGACAGGGATGGTAGATAATGAAGAGAAAGTAGCGAAGGACGCAAAATCGACACATATATCCGAAGTCTCGATGTATGGCGGAGCATGAGACTGAGAAGGAGGCCCACACCTTTTGGAAACACAGTTATCCAAATCTATGGACCCTGTATAGTGTGAGCGGTGATAATGCTAAGCTTGTTATGGAGAGTTACTTGGCCTCACCAGGTTTGATCTATTAATTGTCTAAGATTATAATTGGTCACTTGATACCTCTTCTCGCAGGGGAAGGTCGTTTCGTCAACAACCTGCTAAGCCTATCCAGATAATTAATGGCAAAGGATGACTGCTTACCCTGCAGCCAGTTGCTCCGGCAATCGGAATGGGCCGGCGATGCGTGAATAGCGCACCTCGAAGCGACCTTCCTCCACCATCCGCGCTATCAAACTCTGCCGGCTGACCCATGTCGCCGCTTACGTATTGTCTAGCCCATGCCATGACTCGCAGCTGGACTGCCCCAAGCTGTCTCCCTACAACCCGGTACATGATGGGGTTGGGTGCCAGGTGCAAGGGAACCCACCCGTCATGTCATTCATTGTATCAGAAACAACTGTTCATGAAGATGGAAACCTAGCTCAAATTGCGATCTCGGCTCCATGTGACAGCCTGGGGCATGGGCTATACCCGCTTATCTGCAAGCATCGCTAGTCTGGACGCTCCGGCGCTTTGATAGTAATGGGGCTCAGGCGATTCCCAGATAACCACGGCCAGGACGAGGGCTTGTTCCTGTGGGGAATGAACCTGGACCTATCTTGTGTTTCCCCCGCCCTCACAAGATTCCGGTCACGATAAGTCCGGGGTACAGACAGACCCACCACTACTTATATGGTGAGAGCCCACTAGCCTTGTGGAACACCTTATCAAGTCTGCTCTTTGCTGTTTGATCCAGCCTGATTGATAAAACGGTTGTCGAGTATAAGGTTCGCATTCCCACGGCCTCGGGATCGTCGCCTTCAACTCCTACCATCAGTCTCCATACCCCCCGTCGTTGATATCCGAACGGCGTCTTCTCTGAGAAACTTTATCCTCATGGCTGCATCAGACAAAGAGATCTCCGCCAAGGAGACTTCCTCGCCCTCGCGGGAGGAGGAAAGAGGTGAGATGCTGAAGATTGATATCAAGAACACGGATGAGGCTGCGGCCTACCTCACAAATGCTGAGCACTATGAACCTCTCACGCCCGCACAGCACAAGAAGTTTATGCGGAAGGTCGACATGATTTTGCTGCCAATGGTATGAATGGCCCAGCACCGTCTGATAGAAAGATCACGAGGCTAACAAGCTTACAGCTGTTCCTTGTTGCCACCCTTGGAGCGTAAGGATTGTCCTACCATGAACGCGCGTTAATCCTGACTGCTGACATCTAGTTCACAGAATCGACAAAGTTGCCCTTGGAACTGCGGCTCTCTATCGTCTTCGCGAGGACAATGATTTGGTCGGCCAGCAATATAGCTGGCTTGGCTCTATTCTTTCACTGGGTGTAAGTCATAAGCAACTAACAATATGCATCGACAGCAGTCGTTGAATCATGGACTGACAAAAAGATCAACAGGCCCTTGTTGGAATGTTCCCATCTTCGTGGCTTATCCATCGACTCCCCAGCGCCAAGTACTTGTCTGCCTGCTCCGTCGGCTGGTCTGGTTGTGCTCTTATCATGGCATCATGCCACAACTTCGCCGGACTTGCTACTCTCCGATTTATCATGGGTATGTCAAGTGAAGAAGAAAGTTTTGTAAGAGAATAATCTGCTGAATTTTCCAACAGGAATGTTCGAAGCTATCATCGTCCCGGGAATCTCTTTGATTCTCGCCGGTTTCTACCTCAAGGAAGAGCAGCCTCCACGAAACGCCCTCGTTTTTGCCGCCGCCAGCTCCGTCGTAAATGGTTTTCTTTCCTGGGCTATCGGCCATATCCCATCAACTGCTCCCCTGGCTATCTGGCAATATCTGTTTCTTTTGACTGGTGAGTTCGATCAAGACCGCGTCAAGGATGCACTCTTCTGGAACGAATACGCTGACCACAGCTGGTTCCAAAACAGGATCCGTCTCCATGCTATGGTCCATCATCGCCTTTATCTGGCTCCCGGGCACACCGATGGACTGCTTCTTCCTCACTGAACAGGAGAAGTACCACGCCGTCAACCGTCTTGCGGCCAACAAGACCGGAATCGTCAACCATACTTGGAAGTGGTCCCAGGCCAAGGAGGCCGTCATCGACCCCAAGACCTGGATCATCTTCTTCTTCAACATTGCCATAAACATCCCCAACGGCGGTCTGACCACGTTCGGTGGACTCATCATTGCCGGTCTCGGTTACTCTGGTGTCAACGCGTCTTTGCTCACCATGCCCACCGGCGTCATGTCCACGCTTGCTGCCTTTGTCTTCTCCCTGATCTCAGCCAAGTGGAAGAACCGCCGATGTCTGGTGACCATGCTGGCCTGTGTGGTCCCCATCGTAGGCACGGCTGTTGTCAAGGCCCTCCCCCGCTCCAACTTGGGAGGTCAGATGGTGGGCCTGTACCTTCTCTACACCTACTTCGGCCCCTACGTGGTCGGTATCGGACTGGCGCAGGCAAACACGGCCGGCCATACCAAGAAGACGGTCGTGTTCGCGATCCTGTACATTGGCTACGCTGTTGGTAATCTCATCGGGCCTCAGACATTCATCGCCACCCAAGCCCCTGCGTATGTCGGCGGCACCATCTCTATGATTGTCTGCTACTGTGTCTGCATTGGCCTCATGGCATGCTACTGGGCTCTGGCTTCCTGGCAGAATAAGAGGAAGAGTGCCGCGGCCATCGAGTCTGCCGCCACTGAGGACGCTGTGGAGTCCTTCTTGGACAAGACCGACTTTGAGCAGGAAGGATTCGTCTACACTACCTAGGATGGGTTCATGGACGGGGTAGTAGCCAGGGCAAGGGGGATACCGGATTGAGATGAAGTGCCCATCCATGATATACAAAGTCTTGCGGGGAGGGATGGGGTTTCTGGGGGTGGAGAGAGTATGGTCAATTTCGGGATAGCTTCTGATAACTAGGTGAAACTGGCCATTTCTGTTCGTAATTAATATCTCTATACTACTTTTGATGATCGATAATGGTTCACATGTGCAGTATTCAACCGTGCGTCTAGTAGTTTCTAGTTCCCTCCCTGATGAATCGGCTAAGAGCCTGGGACCATCCTCCTTCTTACCAAATCAGTGTAGCTTCTGACTGTACATATCGTACACTATTTCCACTTAGCTTGCTCATCTTGCATGTACCCCAGTCCAGTGAGATGGGACCCTGGTGGTGGCCGAAGACTCCGACCCAGCAATAAAACCCCACCACCCCCGTCAGGCCTCAAAAGCAAAGGAAGGTCGTTTCGAACTTCTAAATCTCTCCGACATATCTACTCCTCGCCATCACCTCCGCGCCGGAGATAGAGTCAGCTGATTGATAGCCTCCTGGACTACCTTTTTGACACGGCGCAACAGAGAAACGGATCCACCGCGAGAATCCCAAGTCGAACAATCGTATGATGGTCGTTGGGATTCGATCTTTGTCGGCATCATCCTGGGCTGCGCTTTCGCTTCACCGGCCTTTAACTAACAAAACCTCGCATCGTCTATACAGCACCGACATAACCTCAGTATCATGATATCAAATCAATTGACAACATGGCTACCAGAACGCCCAGCAAAGAAGACCCCATCCTCATCATAGGTGCAGGCACCTTTGGCCTGTCCACGGCCTACGAACTCTCCCAACACGGCTACAAGAACATAACCGTCCTCGACAGAGCCTCTGAGATCCCCTCGCCCTACTCAGCCGGCTGCGACCTCAACAAGATCGTCCGTGCCGAATATGAGGATCCCTTCTACACCGACCTCGCGCTCGAGGCCATCTCCGCCTGGCAGTCGCCCTTCTTCGCCCCTTTCTACCGACCGACCGGGTTGGTCATTGTCAACTCGGCCGCAGCCAGCCAGCGCGAGAGAGACTCGCTATCCAAGTCGTTTGGGTCAATTGAGCACAACCCCAAGTTCCCGGCTGGTTCTCTCTCCCAGATAAATTCGCGAGAAGATCTTCAGGCTTTTGCTCCGCCGCTCACTGGCGCCGCGAAGGGGTGGACGGGTTATTTCAACAAATTCGGAGGGTATGCCAGAGCTGGAAGGGCCATGAAGGCCATGTACGGCACATGTGTAGCTCGCGGGGTGCAGTTTGTGCTAGGCCCCCGCGATGGGCACGTCACGTCACTTCTATTCGACGGGAATCGGTGCCTAGGGGCACAAGCAGCATCCGGACGGAAGCATGAAGCCTCCCGTACCATTGTGTGTCTTGGGGCAGATGTTACCCGTCTCATCCCCGAGCTGGGCGGTCAGATCACGGCCAAGGCATGGTCGGTCGCTCATATACAGCTGACGCGCGAGCAAGCGAGGAGCCTGGCTGGCATTCCGGTGGTCAACTGCCGAGACTTGGGCTTCTTCTTCGAGCCGGATGCTGATACGGGCCTCGTCAAGTTGGCCGCCCATCGAGCCGGGCTGACCAACTACCAGCCAGCAGCTGGGGGGAACGGGCAGGTCAGCCTGCCATCACACAGCAGAGATGACGCTTCAAGGGGCATTCCCCGGGATGATGAGGATAGGATCGTGCGGCTCATCGCTGAGACCATGCCGCAGTTCTCTCATTTGCCCCTCGTGCGCAAGTTCATCTGCTGGTGCGGTGATACGGTCGACTCCAATTTCATCATCGACTTTGTTCCAAGCACTGAAGCGCACTCTCTCATGGTTTTTTCTGGGGATAGCGGGCACGCATTCAAGATGCTACCTGTGGCCGGGCGCTGGGTTCGGGATGTCCTGGAGCGCGGCGGGCAGACCTTGGCCAGGTGGAAGTGGAAGAAGGATCTCAAGGGTGGTCCGGATGATATACACTGGCGGCCGGGCGGGTTGGAGGACCTGAAGGATGTCAAGGACTGGGTGCCGCAGATGATAATGCCCAATGGGCGTCTTGAGAAACTTTAGTATTACGAATCACAAGGCATTTCACAGACTCCGTAGGAGACAGATATATGAATGTTTACGATGTAATTGATTGGCAATTTGCCTCATGACATATCTTCGTTGCTACGCCAGACTTAAAAGATTCCCCCTTTGCTCTGCGAGATCCTCCCATCGCCCAGCCTTACCCACATCTCTGTCCAGCCAGACAGCCTGCACAACCTCCTTCGCCTTGAGAATACTCGCAAGAGGCCTCGCATTGGCCATCTCCGTGAACTTGTCTAGGATCATCCGCCGCTCATCTTCCGCCCAGGCGCCAAAGGTGCCTAAAATGAACAGGGGAAAGATCATGGTCGGTTTGGGTGGCATCCGGGCGAGGATCCTCACGACAGCCGCCGTAAGGGGCTGCAGGGTCGGCGAGAGTGGCTTGACCCCGTCCACGCCGGCATACAGGTATATGAGGGCACACAGCCTCTTACACTCAGCAATTTCAAGCAACTCCGCCCAATCTGAGGCTCGGTCCGTCGAGATTTGCTGTCGAAGGTGATGTAGCGTCCTCTCCACTCTGTCCCGTCGTGCCCTGAAGGACTGAACAACCCCGGGGTCCGCCGATGCCATGTCAGCCTTGCGAGCCTCGACTATCAGCGCACTGACCTCGGAGATTTGCTTTACCAGGCCGCGGGAGCAGACGATGGTGGCGTCAATCTCAATCTCGTCGTCAGTTGCGAACCACTCACGCGGTTCGAAGAGCGTCTCTTGCTCTGATATCCTCCAGCCCATGACGTCGTGCGTCACGAGCCAGGTAACGCAGAACCTCTGGAATTTATCAAACATGTCGAACCCGCCCGGCCAGAGAATGTTGCAGATTGCGCGGCCAGCTTTGAGGTGTGCCATCCAAGTTGATGAGCACGTCTCCACGATCTCGAGGCCAGACAGCGTGATCATGGTAGCGAGCAAGGCTGTCAGCGTATTCTTTGCGTGGCCCACTGCCTCTTGGCAAGATATGACTTCTTTTCTGAGCCATCTCAGCGCCTCTACCTTGTACTTGGTGGAGAGGTTGATCAGCGTATGGCGGTTGGCGGCCTCGTAGGATCGCTCGTATGCAGCCCAGCTGAGGACAGTGAAGTAGAGTGCCTTGGAAGTCAAGGATAGCGGTGCGATGAAATCCCGGTAAGGGTTTTCGGTGGCCAGACTACTTAGATTGGGGCATAAGGCGTTGACATAGTAGTCAAAGAGTTGGAACTCGAAGGGGTCCTTGCCGGAGGACACGAGATAAAACTGACTAATGTTTGTTGGCGAATAAAGTTGGCGGTTCAGATCTAAAGCACTCCAATCTTCATTATCTTGTGCCGGCAGCTCCTCGAATTCTTGCTGATCGCTTTCTCTTCCGTCCCGTCCACTGTCCCCCTGAGGTACGCTTAGAGGGGTTGAGGGATGTTGGAATGAGGATGCAGCTTCTGTTGCTTTGGATATCTGGTCATATTGGGTCACAAAGTGCCTTGATGAAGTGTTCAAGAAGTAGAAGCTCCCTCTATAGCAAGGCAGCGCTGGTGTGTGCCTGAGGACAGGAGCTTCTGATGGCCGGCCATAGACACCTAATCTCAAGTATCAGCATTTGCAAGCTTCGTTTGGCAATGGACATGGGGGCGCATATAACATCAAACAAAAGTACAAAGCAAGGAATGGGATGCATGCATGGCTAGTCGTACCTTGTCGGCCGAAGCATATGCCCTGGGCAAGAGCCTCCTCTCTCCAGGTCAACTTCAGACCGTAGTGACACTGATGGTTAGATCGGATACAGTTCCGGCAGCGAGGTGTTTCTAAGCTGCATTTCACTCGACGCTCTAATGATGTCACCAGTTAACACACGTTGCTCCCATAGTGTATGTTGTTTCACAGCTGGTCTTGGACCCCGGCAGGAGTCAGGACCAGGTGGATAGCCGGCCCTCGCGTGCGGCACAAAGGGGCCTTGGGCCGGCTCAGCAGGTGGAGAGAACTACCTTTACATTTCCAGCAGGCAGTCCTCCGTCTCTTCTCATTACAGCCGGGATCTGCCATGGTCGTGATAAGAGGTGGCCAGAGGGGCTCGATCTGGCGGAGCACGCTGGATGCTAGACTACAACGCACCGGAGCAGAACTGAGACGGATCCGTCTGGGGAACACTGAGGAAAGGAGCAAAGGGGGATGCAGGCACTCGATACGGGCCCCGGCTTGAGCTGATAGTGCGAGGTATCGACAGGTATCGACGAGGCTCGTGAGGGGAGAAGTGAAGCGAGGAGAGATGGGGATGGATCCACGAAGGCCGCAAGTTGGCTTAGAGCAGGAAATGGCCCACGGCAGCAGCGACCCGATAACGGATTAGCGGGTCTTGCAGCGGGGCGTTTGGCTTTGGCGAGGGAAGGTCGATTCGTGACTCGCGTCGGCCAATCAGAGCGGGTACTGATAACCGACTGCCGATGCGATAAGCCGAGATAGGCAATATAGGGTAGCGGCATGCAGGCGATAACCTAAATATTTTGGGATGGTCAACGCGAGGTCACGCACTCGACCAGTCAATCAGTGCCAGGACGTGAACAAATATGCAGTCCAGTCGATTTATCACGGTGCCCCGCATCTCTGACCATTTGGATGTTCCCAGTCCCATCCATCGCTTATGCAGCGAGTGTGCGGCCCCCACCGTCCCCAGACACCTCCACATCCACGGCACCCAACTGACCGTTTGCTTGGCCATCGAAAGGACCCCGACATCGCAGGCACCTGGGATATTGATCAAAGGGAGTTGCCAAACCGACGCAGCGGGTTTTAGCTGATGCGGGGCAGCTGGGAACATTGGAAGGTCGATTCGACTTGACTTCGTTGGCTATCTTATATTTCATCCAACCTCCCATCGGTGTATACGCACATCTGTATATACAAATACACAAAGCCGTCAAGTCGTTTGGGTCATGAAACACCCAAGAACAGTATATTTTCGTACCATTTGTTATTCCATTTGATACTTGGAGATACCTCTCCTCGGTGTGTTCATTCATGCCTGCACCGCTCAGCATCTCCCCCTACTATCACCCTTCATCGAAATTATAACGAATAATTATTCACAATGTGTGTCGCAAACTTATCGGCTCTGCCGCCCGCATCCATTTCAATTGCAATGGATAGAGGCGGCACCTTCACAGATGTCTGGTCTTCGGTCGACGGCCAAGACGATTTCGTCTTCAAGCTGCTTTCCGTAGATCCCGACCACTACAAAGATGCGCCAACAGAAGGTCAGTCTCCTCCTCGGGTAGAATATCTCATGTGACGGCCCTCTAACAACATTCAAAGGTGTAAGGAGAGTATTATCACACTATCTCGGTCGCGAGATCCCCAAGAATGAGCTGTTGCCCAAGGAGCACATCAAGGCCATCCGCATGGGAACGACCGTTGCCACCAACGCCCTTCTGGAGCGAAAAGGCACTCGCCACGCCTTCTTGGTCACCAAGGGCCACCGGGATGTCCTAGAAATCGGCTCGCAACAAAGACCCGACATCTTTGCTTTAAATATCAAGAAGCCATCCACTCTGTACGATGCTGTCGTCGAGGTTGACGAGAGAGTCACTGTTGAGTTTTACGACGAGGCTCCCAAGCGAGCCGATGGTGTTCGCAAGGACATCCAGGGAGAGGTCGTCAAGGGACTTGGCGGCGAGTATGTCCGTGTGATTGAGAAGCTCAATGAGGAGACGACCAGAGCCTCGCTGCAAAAGCTCAAGGACGACGGCTACACGACTTTGGCGGTGTGCCTGGCGCACTCGTTCCTGTACGCGGAGCACGAGAAGCGAGTAGAGGAGATTGCCCGTGAGATGGGTTTCGACCACGTCTCCATCTCATCTGCTGTAGGTGCCAACATGGTCAAGATGGTGGCTAGAGGAGGTTCTGCCTCCGCCGACGCCTACCTCACCCCTGTGACCAACGAGTACATCCGCAGCTTTGCCTCTGGCTTCGCAGGAGGCAACCTTGATGGCCTTCGCTGTCAGTTCATGCAGAGTGATGGAGGTCTCGTCGACTTTAGAGCCTTCAGCGGCATGAAGGGAATTCTGAGCGGCCCTGCCGGTGGTCTCGTCGGATATGCCCGAACATCATATAACGGGGTCACTCCCACAGTCGGGTTCGATATGGGTGGCACATCAACTGATGTGAGTCGATTTGGCGGTGTTTTTGACCACATTTTCGAGAGCACTACTGCAGGCGTCACAATCCAGAGCCCCCAGCTCGACATCAATACCGTCGCTGCTGGCGGTGGCAGTATCCTCACTTGGCAAAACGGTCTGTTCAAGGCCGGGCCTGAGAGTGCCGGCGCTCATCCAGGCCCGGCCGCATACCGCAAAGGCGGTCCTCTCACCATCACGGACGCCAACCTGCTGCTTGGTAGACTGCTGCCCGAGTACTTCCCCAAGATATTCGGTCCCACTGAGGACCGGGCGCTGGATGTTGACATTGTTCGGGAGAAGTTTGAACATCTCGCCCAGCAGATTCGCCAAGACACTGGCCGCGATCTGTCACCCGAGGAGGTTGCCGTCGGATTCATCGAAGTCGCAAACGAATCCATGTGTCGCCCTATTCGCGCCCTTACCGAGGCGAGAGGATTCGAGATAACCTCACATAACCTTGCCGTCTTTGGCGGTGCCGGTGGCCAGCACGCCTGTGAGATTGCCGAGAACTTGGGAATCCAGAGAGTGGTCTTGCACAAGTACTCTAGTCTTCTATCTGCGTATGGTATGGCTCTCGCCGAAGTTGTACAGGAAGGCCAGGAGCCTTGCAACGAGTTTTTGACGCCCGAAACACTGCCTAAGATCGAGGCTCGTCACACGTATCTCTGCGAAACCACTGCGGCCGAGCTCCTCAAGCAAGGCACCGACAAGTCGGCCATTAAGCACGAGATCTACCTCAACCTTCGCTACCGCGGTAGTGACACGACCCTCATGATTCTGAAGCCAGCCGATGGTGACTGGAAGAGGGAGTTCATCGCAGAGCACCTTCGAGAGTTTGCCTTTACGCTTCCTGGCGACAGAGAGATCCTCGTCGACGACATCCGAGTGAGAGCCATTGGCATCAGCACCGAAAACACAAAAGACAACGACCTACTCTCGAGAGAGCTAAAGGAGGATAAATTCATTGCAGCCAAGGAAAAATCCGTCACGTCTGAAACTGTGAGTATTCCTGTTCATCCCGGTTTATCATCTACATACTAATAAATTCAATAAAGCGCCCCGTCTATTTCAAGCATGGAGGCTCCTGCCAGGCGAACGTCTTCCAGCTTCAAAACCTTCCCACAGGCCATCTCGTCACCGGCCCTGCCGTCATCATTGACAATACCCAGACCATCATTGTCACACCTGGAAGCCAAGCCAAGGTGCTGACCAACCACATCGTCATCGAAGTCGCCGCCCAGACGCCCCGAAACAACGATGCGTCCGCCGTTGACCCAGTCCAGCTCTCTCTCTTCGGCCATCGGTTTATGAGCATTGCCGAGCAGATGGGTCGGGCATTGCACAAGACCAGCGTGTCCCTCAACATCAAGGAACGGTTGGACTTTGCCTGTGCTATTTTCGGCCCCAATGGAGACTTGGTCGCCAACGCACCGCACGTTCCTGTCTTCCTCGGTAGCATGAGCTATGCCGTCAAGGGGCAGATCGACCAGCTTGGCGATACGATGCGACCTGGCGACGTCTATGTCACCAACCATCCTGGTAAGTACTCATTCACATGCGATATAGATCTGCGAAGTTAACCTCTTGTGCGCCTAGTCCACGGAGGCACACATTTGCCCGACCTGACCGTCATCACTCCCGTGTTCGATGATGACGGCAAGGATATCCTGTTTTTCCTTGCCTCTCGTGGCCATCACACAGACATTGGAGGATTTGGAGGCTCCTCCATGCCTCCCAACTCCACCGAGCTGTGGCAGGAAGGTGTCGCCATCAGAACATTCACCATGATTCGTGATGGCAAATTCGACTACGAGGGCATAGAGAGAATCTTTGCCGAGCCGGGCACGAGGCCGGGATGTAACAGCACACAGAGAATCGGAGACAACATCACCGATCTCCAGGCGTTTGCCGCTGCGAACAACAAGGGATCCAAGCTTCTCAGCAAGCTCATTGATCACTACGGTCGCAAGACTGTGCATCTATATATGGATGCCATTCAGACAAACGCTGAGATTGCAGTCCGAAGCTTCCTCAAGGAGGTCAGGGCGAAGGGTCCCGAGGATGGCATCTTACGTGCTATCGGCTACATGGATAACAGCTCGCGCATTCACTTGGAGGTGCGCATCAAAGAAGACGGCAGTGCCGTATTCGACTTTACCGGCACTACCCCTGAGCAGTACGGCAACATGAACGCCCCCACGGCCTTGACGTACTCTGGACTTATTTTTTGCCTTCGGTGCATGATTGGAACTGACATTCCTCTCAACCAAGGCTGCATGGCCCCGATCGAAGTAATCATCCCCAAGGGATGCTTCCTCAACCCTTCAGACGAGGCTGCCGTCTGCGCCGGAAACACCCACACCTCCACCCGCATCTGCGACACCATCTTCGACGCCTTCCAAGCAATCGGAGCATCCCAGGGCTGCATGAATTGCGTCGGCTTCTTCGGTGACGAGAACGTCGACGAGCGAGGCCAGACCAAGGGCTTCGCCTACTCCTTTGGCGAGACGATCTGCGGAGGCTCCGGCGCTGGCCCGACGTTCCACGGGGCGCACGCCGTCCACACCCACATGACCAACACGAGCATCACAGACGTCGAGCTCATGGAGAAGAGATACCCGGTTCTTCTGCGGGAGTTCAGCATCCGACGCGGGAGTGGTGGCAAGGGCACCTTCAACGGCGGTGACGGTGCCCGGAGAGTCTACGAGGCGCTGGCGCCGCTAAGCTTCAGTGTCATCACGGAGAGGAGGACCACGCGGCCGTACGGTACCCGTGGTGGTGAGCAGGGCTCGTACGGAAGGAATATCTGGAGGCGGAAGCAGGCGGATGGCTCGTACAGGGAGGTGAACCTGGGACTGAAGACCATGTTCAAGGTCAAGGCTGGGGACCAGCTCTTGATGGACACGCCTTCCGGGGGTGGCTATGGACCTCCTCTCAAGGCGAATGGCGTGAATGGGACTCATAAAGTGAATGGTGAGCAGAAGGATTTATATCCCAGAGCGCAGGGCAGTCTTGCGTCATGGGAGAGCCGACAGGCTGACTTTTAAACTATTTAATTTGTGAATTTGAATAAGTGGTTCATGATAGCTCAAGCCAGATTCTGGGTGGCATCCCTTTGTTTTGTGCCCCAACGACTAGTTGAAAAAATTATAGCTATAAATGAGGAAATAATCATGAGCTTCTCTAGTCTGGTTCTATTCTGTATATGCTTATTCGCTAGCCCTGTTCAAAGAACAGGAATGTCCCGTATCAGTAGCGTTCCGGCAGGCACTCAAAATTTAAACTGAAGGCTTCGTGGAGTGTTACCGAAAGGTAAAGAAGATCTGTTCACAGTAGAGCTCACCATTAGCATCAATGATTATTTCTTCTTCTCTAAATACTGACTTGTTACTCTTGAGGTTTGTTCAAAAAAAATAGATATTAGGCTCCTTTGCTTAAGTGCAGTTGTTTCCGCTACAGTCTTGATATCAAGTTCTTGCTCTGCCCCGACAGTAACGATTGCTAACATTTTCCTTGGTAAGCATAGCTGACTATATTTATTTAGGTTTTCCAACTTCGTCTCTCTCTTATTGAATGAACTAAAAATCGAAATAATTTTCTCTTGTTGCCGGGACTTCTTGAGTCGCTGACTGTAACCTCGTGAAAAGCTATTCCAGGTTACTTGCGCACTATTTAGAGATATGATGCGAATGAACCGTGCAAAATAGATGAAACGCGACACTCAATGCTCTCTGCACATGTTTAGATATGCCTGTACAGAATGCTGATCTGAGCTATACGAAACCACAATCTTGCTGCAGGTTACATTGCCAATGGAACTGAACAGTTGTTCCTGAAATACGAGATCGCAATCTCGCCACCATCACGAATATGATAAGCTATTTCGTGACTTCCTGTTTCAATTCGCATAACCCCTTTTTAGGAACGGAAAGCCCGGGGAAATGGACAAAATGGGAACACGCCGTCAAGGTTACATCTACCTTCCTAATAGATTCATGCCAAGGGTACTACCAAACCTCTTTATAACATGAAGCGTTCCCAAGAAAATTACAGGCGGTCAATCTCTGACTTGACCGATTTAATTAATAACGCCAATATGCGAGTCACTCACCTCTTTAGTGTTTTGTCTTCTGTAGCCGGGAGCCTGGCCGCGACATACACGTCGTGTTCCGAGTCCCAGATCGCCACACTTGAGGTGGCTATCAGTCGAGCTACTACCAAGGCCTTTGCAGCCATTGATTATCTTGAGGCCAATCCAAATGGTAGCGACTTGCAGACAACATGGTACGGGGAGTTTAGTACTGAAAGGTACAACAAAATCCTCACTGCCTTCAAGGTACATCTTGCTCTTCCTTATAGGTTCTTGTATTTTTGTGTGAAGCCAAATGCTAACGAACATCCACCCTAGAAATTCGCGCCTGATCTTGCTACGACCTTTCGGTATGACTGCTCTTGCCAAAGCACCGCTGTAGTTGCAACTATTGGTGGTACATATGGCGATGTCAGAATCTGCAGTGTCTTTTTCGACGGTTGGCCAGAGACTGGCCATCGCTCACAGTGGGAGTAAGTAGATCCAGCTTTATTCCAGCCGTACTGAGTTCTCATAATGTTTCAGCACCATCATCCATGAAGCGACACACTTCCGAGACGTTCTTAGGACTCGAGATAGCGGATACGGCGTGGAGTATTGCAAACAGTTTGCGCTAGAGGACCCTAACAAGGCCGTCGAGAATGCCGAGTAAGTCATAAGTTTTCCCGTGATAATGATATTATGGTACATCCCATACTGATAACCACACAGCAATCACGCCCGCTTTGCCGTTGAAGTACCCCCATTCGGACCATGAGAAGGCCTCCTACTTAGCGTAACAGCACTAAATTTGAGCCCGCGGTATTAATGGCTCGCATGGTGATGAGCTTGACATATTACGGCCATCAACAAGATCGAAAATGAGAAAGTTTTAATGGCCAGATAGCTTCTGAAGGTTCATATCAAGATAATAAGATCACATTTGAATATTCGCAACTTGAATCATAGCTTCTCTTTATCCATATATGTCATAGGCACGTACTTGAGAAAGCCTGGAATCTTTTAGGGAGTAGAACGCATGCTACATGCAAACACATTCTGGTGTTCTTTTTTTAGCCTATTTAACTAGGATATCATCCTAACCCTGTTCCTAAGGATTCCAGTTGTTTGGGGAGAGATTAAGCTGGCGACGAGTTAGCTGATGAAGAACCAAACATATAAGTCTACTCACAAAGCCGGGGTTGATGTCCTTCAGAGACCCAAGTCCCACATTGGCGCCATCAACAGCAAGCTCCTTCTTAAAAAGCTCGATGACGCGCTCAACACCCTCCTGGCCGAACACATTCGAGTACATGAAGGGGCGGCCGAGACCAACAGCCTTGACACCAAGGGCGAGAAGCTTGAGGGCATCAGTGCCGTAGCGAACTCCACCGTCAGCGAACACTTCAGTCTGGTTGAAGACCTCAGGAGCCTCCTTGTAGATATCAATTGCAACTTCCAGAGCAGAGGGAGCGCCATCGAGCTGGCGACCGCCATGGTTGGAGAGGACAATGGCAGGAACCTTGTTCTCAACCGCCTTCTTTGCGTCCTTGGCACTCATGATACCCTTGACGATGATGGGGAGATCTGTCATGTTCTGGAGCTTGTGATAGTAGTCCCACTAATAATGCGTGTCATTAGTATGCAGGCTAGATAGGTAATCATATGGTGTTACTTACTGTGATATGGCGGTAGGGGACAGATCTAAACACGATTGATTAGCATATAATTTATACACAAGACAGATGTTTGGATTTTACTTACGCCAAGCTTACATCAAGGCGGGCAGCGCGGTGGCGAGAACCGAAGATGGGAGCATCAACGGTGAAAACCAGAGCATCGGCTCCAGCAGCCTTGCTGCGATCAAAGAGCCTCTGGGTCTCGGTATCGTTGGTAGTGAGGTAGAGCTTGGGAATATCAGTACCGCGACAATTCCAGATTGCTCATTATGTATGTTCACATACCTGCTGGAACACGACCTGACCCTCAGCCTTGAGAGCATGAATTTCCTCAATGGATAAACTGGCGTAACCTGAGGGCTGCAATTTGTTAGAAATACCCTGCGATTGATCGTCAATGAACTTACAATGTACAGGATCTTGCCAGCAGCAGCTCCCTTGACGAAGTTAGCCTCCGCATTGGGATGCCCGTAAGAGCCATAGGCGCAGGGGCTGATGTAAAAGGGTGCCGAGAAGTTGTGGCCGAGGATTGTAGTACTATTAAATGTCAGAATTCCATTCCATCTCTTAAACAGGTATAAAAACCTACGGCAAAGACTCCTCAATCTTGGTAACGTCATTCATCACCTCAGGAATGAAGGTGTACCGGCCAAACACCTCCAGGTTATTGCGGTAGGAGGATTCACCCGCTGCTCCGTTGCGATAGTAGGTGTAGTTCAGGAGAGGAAGATAGTTCCTCGCTGCCCAGTCAAAGTCAGGTAGGCCAACCATAGCCTTGAGGTCGGGCAGGGAGCCTTTGGGAGTGTCTCCGAGGACCTCTTCTAATCCAGTATCTGGCTCATTGATCCACGGGCGAGCTGCCAGGGCGCCTGCAGCAAGGGTCGTACAGATCAGAGTAGGACGCATAATGAATGAACGTTGTGATAGTCTGTTAAGGAATGATTAGGCCAGCAACAGGGAAGGTCGACCGGTTAATCAAGCAGCTCGCAAGTAATGCATCATTGAGGTGTACAACGTTTAAATAAAAACCAATCCAACGACGTTTGTCGGCATACTACACCAAAGTTAACTAACATAAGCATTATCAATCTCCTCTGATCCGGTTGACAAGCATGGCTCCCATGAAAGTTACAGGGTGCCAGCCTCATGAAAATGCCGCGACAGCATGCACAAGTGACAGACACCTCGACCCCTGATCCTCGGATGTAACTCGAGGAGTCTCACGTATCTTGGTCAAAATAAACTAGTGACTAAAAGTGTCAGGGGCAAACTACGCCCTAGATCTAACAAGGATGCTGCCAACTGTCTCAGAAAAAGATGGAAGGATTTAAAGAAACTCGCGCACAGGACCACACAGACCCATGGGATTCTCTATGGAGTAGCCGGAGGTAGCCGAAAGAGAAGACAGCAAAAGAGGGTGGCGTGATGATAGTTATAAAGACCAAATGCGTGCAAAGTTACCGAAATAACAGGGAGAAGAATAGTAGATTCAGAATTAGCGGATGATGCTCTTGGATATGATACCTGAGTAGGCCCAGCTGGAACTCGGTTACTATGCTCGCAGCAACACGAAAGATTGGAGGATCATGCACCATTCTGCTTCTTGTTTGAAGGCCAAACCAAGGACCCAGTTATACCAATAAATCAGTTTGAAAACATCTATCCAGAAAAGCATCTTATTGACTCGTTTGTTCAAGCTAGCGATTCATCCACTCTAAAGTGCTGCATAACACAGAGTAGCTTTATGCAACTAAATACTTCAGAATAGGTAGTTTAACTAATGAGGTTTCCAGATGATCAAGCTACAGACGACTTCTCAATTAGAATTCCGCTCTGATTGTATCAAGAAATGTACGGAGTACCTACACATAAAAGCAAACACACGCGTCATGTCAGTACCATTGCCGTGAAATGTCGGACAGAATGCTGACTGGAGTGAGACGTGATGGCAGGGATCGCTCAAGAATAACATATCCACTCTTGCCCTTTTTCCGTCCAGAAAGGAATACCAAGAAATCACAAGAAATGACGAATCACCAGCATCCCGACGGAAGGTGTTCTGGGTTTTTGACCCACAAACAAAGCATTGCATGGCTCGACTACGTTAAGATAGCCGAACAACCCGAACCTATATTATAAAACGAGGCCAATATTTATTCTGTATCGGTACCTAATAATAAGCCTGTGAACATTCTCATTTGTCAGGAACCGCCTCTCCACTTAAATAGCTTCAGCTCTGAGATTGAAGCGTACCACCTCCGCAACGCTTCCATCAGGGCCGCGAGAATCAACCACTCGCTGCAACAGTGATCCCAACGCTTCAAGCACAGACGGATCAACACCCTCTTCCTCACAAGCTTTCAGGATGTTGCGAAGACCCACAAGCTGCATTCCAATGGGGCTCCCTGCATTCTCATCGTAGCTTTCATCATCGACTGTCTGAGCAAGGAGGCTTAGGTAGGGTACCAGAGCTGTAAGTACTGGCACAATTACAGAATCAACTCTGGTCTTGATTTTGCCACTGGCCCCAGAATTGGCTGTCTGCTTCTTTAGCAGACCGACCCCGGTGAAGAAGCCAGCAAACATGCCATACATCGTGGACAAAGCAGCAAGATCGTTCGCAGCTGCAGAGCCCACATCGGGCCCGGTGTAGATAGCCAGTCCGAGGGGCTCAACAAGTTTGGCAACATTGGTGTCGAAGCTCTCCTTGCTCCCACCGCTGTATAGAAGCAAGCTTTGGGGGGTACCAACAAGCTGTGGTGTAACCATGACGGCACCATCAAAATAATGGGACGCGCCATAGCTCTTCATCCATTTCTCGGCATCAGTCGCATCCTTCAATGTACCGTTGGTAAGGTTGATGATTGTCTTGCCAGAAAAGACTGTGCTGTCGTTTAGAGGCTCCAGGATGGAATGAAGCGTGCCGTAGTCGAGAACGCATATGACAATGATTTCAGCTTGCTTGACAGTTAGAAACACATCTTGATGGAATATGGCGCCCTGTTGAGTCAAGCTTTGGATAGCTGGACGCTCTTTGGTGCGGTTCCAAAGCAATATCGGCTGATTGAGGGTGGGCTGAAGGGTTTTGGCCAGTGCCGCGCCCATGTTACCAAGGCCGAGGAACAAAACTCGTGAGGCACTCATGGTTTCTTATTATGGGAAACGTTATTGGTGATTATTGTGATTGAAGCTTGGTATCTTTCGCCTGGAGGACCGTGTTGCGCTGGATGGTGTTTCTGGTCGATAATAAGAATTGATATGGGAACGGCCCCCTTAAATAGAGTTGAAGCTCTCATTCTATGCCGATGGCAAATTAATTTCAGTACCTTTTCAAATCAAACCCACCGTAGTTGCTACGTAGTGTCGATTACAAATGAATCTTCCGATGATGCTCAAATTAGTAATTGGGGTCTCGTTTGCATCGTATTCAGCCCTGAGGAGGTTCCGTCTTCTTTATGTTACAAACCAACAAGCCTATTTTCCAAATAGCATCGTGTCAGATCGTAACGTAATAAGTTTTGACTCAGGGGGCCTTCGAAAGGCAATGCGGTGTTCGTATACAAGCTGAAACGAATGGCAAGACTTGGTCACTCAGTATCCCCTGTTTAATCCCTAGTCACATAACCTCTCCTCAAAGATTAGCATATGAACTTTAATTCAGTAATTTGCACGATATTTTTCTGGGAAAAAAATAGCTTGTTTACTTCTGTCAATTAGCCAACAGTAGTAAGTGAGAGAGCTATACAGCTGCTGAAAAAAAAAAGGGGAAATTCCCAAACACCAAGAATTTAACAACTTGACACCATACCCGGTATCACAACACATTAAACTTCACCCTTTTTGCCCGGCTGTGCCCAACCGTATATAAGGTTTAAATTCAAAGGCTATACCCGGTGATGACTCTTTCGTCGGCATGACTCCTTTTATGTCAATTAGCCAACATGAGGATGCTATTGCACATCTACAGAGTAAGCGATCTTTTCCTTCGTCTACGTTCTTGGCCTTCAAAAGCCTCCTTGATTTTATCCAACATTCCATCTGTTGTCAAAACATCAACTGCTACACCAGCAAGACCGTTGGCGGCCCGGATAGCAAGGTCAAACGCAGCCCTGCTCCCAGCTGCGACCTCAAATGCAGCCGTGTGTGTTCCCCCATCAGGAACCGAACCGTTGGCAGTGGTGATGGCAAACATCGGATGGATGCTTGGGAATTCGTGGCTGACATCCCCCTGATCTGAACTTCCAGCGGGATCCTCAATCTTAGCAAGAGCAAGGTCTGGAAGCTCTCCTCCAAGGCCAGTAAACCACTTGGCATATGACTCGGCAAGAATATCGTTGGTAACCATGTTGGCGTATCCGTAAGGCCTGATCGTAACATTCAGCTCGGCTCCAGTCCCAATAGATCCGGCTTCAAAGCATTGCATGACCCGATCCGTCCACTTCTCAAGGGTTGAAGAGTCTCTGCTCCGAATTTGAAAACTGGCCTGTGAGAGTGATGGGATGACGTTAATTCGTGATCCGGCAGATGTAATGATCCCGTGAATCTGATCAGTCTTGGTTGTCTGCTGTCGAAGCATGCTCAAGGCATTGTAGGCCAGGACAAGGGCATCCTCGGCATTGATGCCCTCCCATGGTGAAGCCGAGGCATGTGCCTCCTTTCCATAGTACTCAACTTCAAAGCGATCAGTAGCAAATGAGTTGAAATAAGGAGTGTTGCTCGTGGAAGGGTGAGCCATGAGACTGATATCGATCTTTTGATCCGAGAAGATACCAGCTTCGAGCATCTTGATTTTTCCTCCAAGACCTATGAGTTTGTTAACGAAAACTGGACATGGAAGTAGATATTATATCGCTTTCGAACATACTCTCCTCGGCTGGAGTTCCAAAAAGAACAACCTTTCCAGGAAGACTTTCCCGTCGCATGATATCTGCGGTGGCAAGAGCGGCGCTAATGCCAACTGAAGCGATGAGGTTATGGCCGCATCCGTGACCCAGGCCAGGGAGAGCATCTATCGTTGTCTGATCAGCACGAGCTCTCGTGAAATAAGCACATAATAGGTGCATACCATATTCTGAATTGAAACCAATGATTGGTCCATCGCCATTGCCTGTAAAGACAGCCGTGAATGCAGTGGTGATATTCTTAACTGATCTCGTAATCTCCCAACCATCCTGGGACTCCATAAAGGTTGTCAGAAGCTCATGTGCTCGTACTTCTTCGTATCCCAATTCGGGATTATCGTGAATTTCCTGGTTAATTGGCCATACATCCTCCTTGAGGGTGTCAAGATATTCTTTGATTGCACCAAAATAAGGGCTCACGCTCTCGTTCCGAGGGGCGAGGGTGCTCGCAAGCACGGTGGAAGCGCTCAAAAGCGCAAAACCAAATCTTTTAACCATGGTAAGAGAGACAAAGGCGGAGGGCGAGCATAGCAGAGCGGAAAAAACCTGCCAACTGGGGAGCAGAGCCGGGTATCTATAGGCGTTGCTCTCTCCCCAACATCAGCCTCACCCCTGAACAGATCATTCTGGGTCTTGACTTTGCTATCTCAAGCCATGTCGAAATGCTGCGGGGGTCATGGTATTTCCAGGTTCCTGAGTGCCTATCAGGTCCCCGCAAGGTCTATCGCCTTCTTCATTCGTACCCTGCTCTTAAGAAGAACGACATCATGGTGGGTCAGCTTCATATTTCGCCACCGATTCCGGCGTGAGGGGCAGGAAGACGGCCTTTCAAAAGGCAAGCCAGCACTGCCGAAGAGTGTCGGAGAAGAGCCGGTCCTCATATCGGGGAACGCCCGATAATGATGATAACTAACCCCACCACAAATCCCAGTTCGAGAGGGGCTTCTGGAGAACAGGTTCAGTTCTCATTCGCCACGGTTAAAGTTGATTCAACTAAACTAAACTCTACGCTACCTTAAATGTAACCTTGAATGAGGTAATTTCCACTTTTGATAGAGATATCCACCCTCATAAAGCTCCATCGTGTTATCCCGGGTCCTAGTTCTATCACCGATATGACATTTGGTAAGCCACTTACGTACGCATCCCTAGATCTGGTTTCAAAATGCTACCGAACGAAATTTGGCGTGTGTCTGAAGACCATGTATGTTTCATGAGCTGCTGCAGTCTATCTATTATACTATCGAGAGCCGAGCTGGGGGTTATCACCACGAGCACTCAGCGGCAGTCGCCTATAGAATACAACCCCGCTATCTCCTCTCTACCTCTCCTGTCCCAGTACATTCGCTCTTCGCCACCTTGTTATAATTGCGAAGAGCCATCATAGCTTCTATCCCTCTTGAAGAGAGGCCATCTCACTCTTGGCCAAGATCTGGCTCTCTTATGCATTGGACACATTCACCTTCTTCGCCTTGACCGATTTCCATAGAATAGCCACAGCAGCCACGAGCGAGAGCACAGCCATCGCAACCGAGACGTACCAAGTACCCATAAGCGCTTTACTATAAGCGACCAGGACCAGGCCCAAGCTCTCCAGCGGCACTTTGTCTCGCAACTCGGTAGCCCCCACCCCTGACGCAATAGCAGGGTCAACGCCCGCAGCCTCGAGTTCCACGCCAAGGCGGTTAGTGAAGACATTCTAGGCGACCTAGACGAAGATGCTACCACCGAGAGTCTATGAGAACATGAGGATAGCGATGCCAACGGGGATATCGGGCTCAGGCAGGGCAGTTTGCACTGCAACGAGAGGCAGCTGCATTCCGAGACCGGCGCCAAGGCCGTACAGTGCTTGGTAGCCGATCCATGAGGGCGACTTGGTGTTTGTGTGGAAGGTTGTCAAGAGGCCAGCGCCAATGCTCATCAGGACGGAAGCTGTATATATAAATGGGGTATAGTATCCAAAGGCGCTGACTGCTAGTCCAGCTAGGATTGACATGACAACTAGACCAATAATCATAGGTAGGTTCATAATGCCGGACCTCACAGCATTTGCGCCCTGGACAGCTTGGAACCAAATAAGAACATAGAGGACTGTTAGCTTGATAGCTTTGTACAAAGGGGGTGGTGACGAACGTAGTAGACGAGGGGAAAGAATAAAGCACCGAAGAAAACAGCAAAGGCGGCACAGCTCCATACTAATCTATCAGAGAAAACTCTTGGAGGCACGGTGGCCCTGTCCTTTTTCCAGAATTGGACTCCAACAAACATAATAATAAGGACACCAAAAGTAACGAAGAGTCCAATAACACGGCCGTTGGACCAGTCATATCGAGATCCGCCCCATTGTAACGCCAGTAGTAATGAGATGATCGCAGGCAGAAAACAGACTGTCCCTTCCAGATCGAACTGAGCGGCATGCTGCTTCCATGAAAGGGTCTTCTTTGTCGAGCTCATCCCAGCTTGGGGAGGCTTGAAGAACAGGACAACAAAGAGGACCGTAATAGCACCGAATGGGAGGTTGATATAGAAGCACCATCGCCAAGTAAGCCTATCCGTGAAAGCACCGCGAATAAGCGGACCAGCAACGCTAGATATGCCATACATACCTGCGAGTATACCAATATATGTAGGTCGCTGTTGCATAGGGACACTAAGAACAATCATAAGGATAGCTCCAGAGAATATACCAGCAGAGCCCAGGCCTGCAATCGCTCGACCGATGATAAGCGTGGTAGATGCTGGTGCCACACCACAAACTAAAGAACCGATCTCGAAGAAGCCGATGGCGGCCAAGAAGACCCATTTGACAGGATAGATCGAGTAAAGCTTGCCGAAGAGCAGCTGGAAACTGCAGGTAGTGAGAAGATATGCCGAGCCATACCTTTCACGGTACAAATTAGCTTACTGATGAGGCAGTCAAGATATAGGGGGAGCATCATATAGTCAGCCTACCTGCCCAAGTCGTCCAGTGCGCGGAAGTCGTCGGTGATTCGGGGAATTGCGGTCGCGATAATAGTGTTGTCCTGGCTGTCCACGTCAGCACCGTTAGCTCGGAGAGTGGTATAGAGGGCGTACCAGTGCCATGCAGAAGATGGCCAAGCAGAGCCCAAGGACTACCAGAGCTAATTTCCATCCAGCTAGGTTCTTACTCGGCCTGTCAGCCTGGCCGTCGTCTATTGACGAAGCCACTTCCACAGAGCTAGTGTAGGAAGTTTCCTTTGATTCTTCGAACCTAGGTAGGCCATCGTCTCGTACGTTCGTTGCTTGCGCCATATTGTCGGTATTTCGCGCCTGCATCGGAGACGCCGCTGGTATCAAGGTGCTGATCTAGAGACAGAGGCTGTTTTGATGGGGTGGTTGACTGGACGCTGACACTTGGAAAGGCTTGATATAATAAAGTATAAACTAAGGGATAAATCCTACGTTTCGAATAAGTTGCTCGAGTAAGCTGCTTCCGGGAAGGAATTCCATCCTTTTAAGTTGAACGGTTGGCGCTTGGTTGAGTAGACGAATATGATACTAGCGAGGGCCATCAGGGGCATCGAATCGGCATCAGACGCTCGCTTCCGTCGAGCGGCAATGGCTCGGTTATAGGACTGAATGGCAAATTTCATGCCGTCAGATCGGTGCGTAGCCAGCAGTAAAGGCGTGCTATAAACCTCGTGGGCTGTAGCCAAGGCGGTAATGGCGTGTTTAATTAAGGGTTCAGTCAGGCCGAACTGGAGAACTGCATCCCAAAATGGCCGAACAAAGAAACCTAACATTTCTGGGACACTTTTGATATTAAAGAACTCCTGCGCTCTGGCCTCTCCGGCGGCCAGTCGTCTAGTCTCACTGAGGCTTGCGGCAGGCTTTGGCGCGGATGTGTATCCATCACATACCCTCCCAGTGCTTATGCAGCTGAGAAGTCAGTTCTGTTAGTCAAGAATTGGTGAGAAATAATAGCAAGCCAGTATTAGAATCTCACCGAAGGCAGGCAGGCTTAGATTCATCGCACTTGATTCTCCGTGCTCTAAATCAGTCCTTTGTCAATATTTATATATTTCTTAATAGATTGAAAAATGGCAGGAAGTAGGATATATATCCTACATACTTGCACGTAATGCATCCAGTCCGAACCTTGGCCTTGCTTGCTCGTGTTGTATTGCCTGTACTGCCCGCCATCGGTCGTGAAAGTCCTTACTCTCGAGGGTCCAACAGGGGCCTTGGCAGATATATCGAAGATGCCGGCAGTAAAGTATAGCAATTCTGACAATGGTAAGATCGCTGATTTCGTGAGTGAGGTAGAGTATTTCAGGCGACTCAAACGCAATGCTTTTCGTGTTTTTTTATGTATCGCAAATGATTCAAGTACACTTGTGGAGTGCGCGTTTCTGACTCAGCAGCCGCCGCTAAGACATCTACTTACCCTAGAGTACGAACAATTTCTTCTGTTGGAACCGCTGGCCAGATTGGCCATGGGGTCCTCACTGTCTTGACCCTTCTAGAATATCTCAGCTTCACCTTGTAAGGCGTACCGTGCCATACATAATCTCAGAAAATCCCTGGTAGCCCTGTGTATTAAAGGATGAAATCAGTTTGTAAACTTCAAGCGCATAATGACTTGACCTAGGCCCGTTAGTTTGTCTAGTCTTCAGTGGGAGTTGCTTATAGGATACAAATCAGCGATCCGCAACCTCAACACCATAAGTCTACGCTACAGGGTAGTTAGACTCTGTAAACGCGTCTTCGCTTTTTGTTTTGGGCATGATACATCGATTAAACAATAAAGAGCTGTGAACCACAAAGTAAACTTCATATAACCAGTTATATATGTTACACATGAATTGAATGCTTACTCCAGATCTCCAGATTTCCCTCTTGAATCTTAGAAAGGCTTTATCTCCAACATAACTGCCATAGTTGCTCAAAGCTGACGGAGGCTAAACCGGAGTGGGAACGAGCTGGATTTGTCATCCAGGAGCAGATCGATGCCGTGGAAATTCCACGGCCTGTGAGCTCACCAGTTCAGTTTACCCAATTGATCCTTGTCTCGGATCACGTCTCTCTGACTAATCAATCTGGCCAGGCTGCCTCTCCTGTTTGGTGAAGGCGTTTGATGTCGCGACAAGCATCGAATTATCACATAGGAGGCCCCAACGTGTTAACAAGATGTCGAGCCATACAGATAGCCAGTCGGATGATACACGGCCACATCGACGGAAATGTAAGTGCAGACGAGATGCATTGCCCATGCCCGGTCCAGCTGCTGACATATTCAGCATGCGACTTGTGCTTTAGGAAGAAAATCAAATGTGACATGCTGTTGCCCGTCTGCTCAAACTGCATACTCTACAAGTCAGACTGCCGGACTAGTCTTGTCCGGCACAGGGCTGGCCGCCAGACGAAGCAGACGAGGGCTACTGGCAAGAGTGTCCCGACAGATTTCAAGCCGTGGGTTCTGATTACTGAGTTACAATCAGTTCCTAATGATCAAGTGCTAACAGACAACCCAGAAATGAACCAACTGATGATTTGGCCCATCGCCTCGTAAGAATCGAAGACAAGCTACAGGAGGTATTGGAGAAGACAGAGCAAAGATACAGCACTCCATATGAGCTGTCTGGTGATTCGCTGGGCCTCCCCGCCCTCGAAACACTCAAGCCTTGGGTGGACAAGTATTTTAGCACGTTCAACGGTGCCATGCCTCTGTTCCAGGAAAAGGTGTTTGAAAGAGTATTGTTTGCGTCCTACAACCACTCGACAACTGCATGGTCAGCTATTCTTGCGATATCAGCAATAGGCATTCGCATGACGATACCGGGCAAAGGGCTTGCTGCCGCTAGTGATTTGCCCCAGTCAGCTAATGCAGACCAGTACGCATGCATGGCTCTTTCAGTCGCATTTGATCTAGCGAGTACCAGCGGGAACATTCTTGCTGTGCAAGTCTTGGTGGCCCTGGCCATGTTCTTCACATGCATGGGCAATATGGAAAAGGCCAGTGCTCTTATTGCCATGGCGGTGAACCTAGCCCATCGCTTGCAGTTATATTCCAAGCACTCAGCCCAATATATGCAGAAAGAAGTGGCAGAGCAAAGGCACAGAGTCTTTTGGGTGTTGTTTTCTCTAGAAAAGGTATATCAGAAGCGCCATCACAAGAGCCAAGAAATCATGTTAATTTGAAGCCAATAGACGATTTCATATCAGACTACCCGCCCTTCGATGCTCGCTGGAGCCGAGATCGATATCCCGCCACCATCCAACCATCCTCTTGACGGCAATGGTATTGTATGGTCTCGTGATAGAAGAAGTAGTCTTAATTACTTCCGGAAAACTCTTGACCTCTCTTTAGTACTAAGTGAGCTGTCCCATATCCACAGCATTGCCAGTGGCTCGGAAGGTTGGGCGACTCGACTTTCCAGAACCCGCACTACTTTGGAAAACTGGTACAAGAGCATCCCGCTGGAATTCCAACTGGACAATGTCCTCTCAAACGCAAGAGAGGAAGATAGAATGCAGCTCACGAAATTCTACCACGCTTATATTTTTGCACTCTTGTCAATGCACTGCTTTTTCAGCCCCAAGGCGAAGTGGATGCTGCGACTAAGTCAGCAGGGTAGAGAAGCCGCTCAGAGCTATGCTACCGAAACAATTGGGTTTAGGGCAGTGAGGTGTCTCAGCCAATGCGAGCCCCCCTCTGCTGAAGCCTGGAACCTGTTGCTGGATTCGAGTCGCGGGTTTATCAAACTATTCGGTGAAGGCCTGAATGCTATTGAACCGTCTACATGGTGTGTGATCATGACCTTTCAGTTTAGGCACTCCTAACAATGATATTCTCTTTAGGTGCTGTACCAACACGTACAATTCGGCAGTGGTAATAGTCATGGCAGATACGCTGCTCTCGCGTTTTGACCCGATGGCAAATGCGAGCATCGTCGAAAAGGCGACAGAGCTATCTCAGATCCCACCTGGCAACAGCACTTACTCCCCAGCACTGCAGATACTTCTCGGGGAGATGTGTGGCGATTTGCAGGCCAGCGAAAGAGTACTTCAATCAGATATACCAAGTAACTCGCAGCAGGGGATGGCATCAGATCTCGACCTCTTCGATCAGCTAGAGGCATCCGCGATGTTGGAGGGGATCTCAAATCCGTTGCCTGACAATCCATTTTGGGAAGAAGGAATGTTGAGCGACGATCTCCCGTTTACCCAATTCTAATTAGATAGTCCAATTGCGGAGGAATTGGCCATCCTAATGGTATTTAAATAAAAGATGATTTCAGCTCGTGGCTCGTTTGTGCAAAGAGTAAATAGTTGACAATCACTAATGCAACATGCAGGTCTAGGATGCCATCAGGCCCTGATCGTAAACTCCGCTAAAGGGCTATTAAATAGGTAATCATATAAAATAATCTAACCTTTCCTGATTTTGGACTTCAGGATCAGGGCCTAAGACGGCACTTTTTGTCAGACTGGACGCCGTGGGCCAACCACGGAAATGCCGTGGACTAAACATCACCACACGTGTAGGTATAAAAGAACTTGTCCTGGTTGAAAATAATGATCCGTCATTAACTCGAACAAACACATCTGCTTTACTACATCCTCCTATCGTTGTCCAGCAACATGACCCTTCCTATCCTTACAGTGATTGGTGCCCTTGGCAACCAGGGGCGAGGTGTCGTTTCCGCCTTTCTCGGAGACAAAGCACAGTTAAAAGTGCACATCAGAGCCTTGACTTCGAACCCATCCTCTGAATCAGCTCAAGAACTGGCCAAAAACCACAATGTCTCTGTTGTCCAGGTCGACTTGGCCTCTACCGAAAGCATCGAATCCGCGCTTCAAGGCTCCTCATATATCTTTGCCAACACCGTCTTCGACCCAGCAACGTTCATGGCACAAGGAGCAAAGGCAACAGAAGAGCGCGAGAGTGCCCAGATACAGAAAATCACTCTTGCAGCGTCAAAAGTCGCCACACTGAAGCACCTTGTGTGGTCTACTCTACCAGATGCGAAGGCAGCGTCCGCCGGCAAGTATCACATCCCTCACTTTCAGAGCAAGGTTACAGCAGACAAAATCGTCTTGGACGCCGGGAGTGGACTAAGTGATAAGACCACATTTCTTCGTATTGGAGTGTATGGATCCAACTTTCTCAGAATTCCGCATCGCCCTGTTTACTCTGTATGTTACACCCCTTGGACTGCATGAGCCCTTTCTCGTCACTATTATCGATGATGTTGTCTGAAGGCTAACTTTTAAACAGTCCGATACGAACACACATCTAGTACAGTATCCAGTGGGTCCAGATGTAAAATTCGCATTCATTGGTGACGAGGTTATCAACACCGGCATTTACGTCAGAGCGATTCTGGAACAACCCCAGAAAACCATCGGCCGGGTTATCGTGGGAGTCGCTGACTACCTCTCGTGCACCGAGTGGGCAGCCATATTCCAGAAGGTGCAAGACAAGCTTGGCTCGTGTAGTAAAGTCACGTTCAAGGAGTGTTCTCTAGCGGAATACGAGGAGAAATGGGGCGCTATCGGAACTGAAGTTGGTCTCATGATGGCTTATTTTAACGAATTTGGCGAGAAAAGCTTCAGCACGAGTACATGGGGCTGGCCAGTCGTAACAGCTGGGGATCTCGGGATTGAGCATGAGTTGCGCAGCACTGAGGAAACACTGCTGGACTTGGAGTGGCCAGCCCAGGATTAGCAGCCTTCGATGAAGCTGCGCTTCAATGGCCGGCCAGCGAACATTTAGCAATTGAGGCTCTATTCTGAGCTATCTCTTTTCTTTGACTATAGCATTAAAATTAAGCCATACTCATGATTTGGGCTTGAAGCCCGTTCCTAAATGCGTTAACCCTAAATAAGTTCAACTGATTAAATCGTAGCTAAAAGAGGGTTGCTTGCAAGTTGAAACTTGAGAGTGTTCCGTATTACTCAAGCATCCCAGTCACAGCTTACGTTCACTCTATTTCGTCCAGCCATGATGATACTTATTTTGAGGAAAGCCTTCTCGTTCAATTACCGGTCAGCCTCGAAGGTTGACTTCTCGCGACGCGTGTGGAGCTTGTAACTCATTGAAGCTGGAAACCCCGGCCCCAAAACCCTCAGGGCCATGAACCAGCATGGGTATTGCAAAGCAGAAAAGGCGCACAACTTCATATGATTAGTCTCACGGAATCAGCGAGCAGCCTAGGCTTCTAGACAACGGCTGGTCCAGCCCCCTAGCACAACCAGGGGTAAGAGAGGCAAGTAAGACAACGGACTGCGCCCCCACGAGACACAAGAGCGCCGATTTGCCAATTCACTCTTTCGGCTTACCATCCCTTAGAATATTTTGAAGCTTAATTCCAGTTTTCGAAACATCTTACCATGATCATCTGTCAGGCTCCGGAACCAGTGTCGTGGCCCAACAATCTAGCGCGCAAAGCACGCTGCGATATGGTCCAGAAGAAGACCGAAATGATACACATCAAGAGATACCCTCTTATTTTTCTACATAACTACAATGACGCCAAGATTGGAGCTGCCGAAGAGATTATGTTCGTCCAAGAAGTCGTCATCCAAAGTTATTATTACACCTTCACAGCCAGAAAAGATGGGCCTGAGCGATAAGCCCCCAACTACCGGTTATAGTGCTGACAAGTCTCCAAATCACAGCTTACACTGGTAATCACTGTGCTTTGCCGGCTATAGCGCTGACGGGTGCTGATTATTCTTTTCCCGAAGCCCTGTAACAGTAACGGTTCGTAGCATACCAGGGGCGCCTCCCAGTCTTCTGCGCGTATAGGACATATTATTAGATGAAAGCTCAATTCATCCAGCCTGTTTCGTTGTTCAAAGGCGCAGTTGTAGTTATATATATGTCAACTGGATGTCCCAAGTTTCAATTTCCTTCTTGTGATTTCATTCAAGCAACAGTCCTCTGGATCTGATCCCTTCAATTCATTCATTCTCTCTCTGCACTCACTCTCATAAAAATGCTTTCAAGATCGCTTCTCACTATCCTCGGTGCTCTTGGCTATCTAAGCCAGGGCACCAATGCTGAGAGCCATGGCAATGCCGATACTCGAGATCTCAGCCGAAGATTTGACAATAGTCAACCAACCACTCTTTCGACGGCCATTGTACCCACAGCCACAGCCAGCCTAGAGACTGGTGTGGGCTTTTGGCCAGCATACACTCCGGAAAAGGACCAGAATGTCAAATTCGGCGACAGTCTGAAGATCACCTGGGGCTATGACCCTCGCTGGGACGGCAAACTCAAAATCACTCTTATTGGCGGCGCCGTACAAGAGAAGCAGACCGATCTCGGGGTCATCGCCGGTAAGTCCTCGTTGCAGCTAGCCAAGGAATTCCAGGATGCTGACCGCGATTCTAGAGCACGTGGAGAACAAGCAAGGTTACTACATTTGGAATGTCACGAATGAATTTGTTGGAAAGCACGCGGTTTATGGGTTCAGCGTTTTGTACCAGGACGGCAAGACTCAGCAGTACTCGATGCGTTTTCACATAGTTTGAGGTATTGTCAGTGTTCGATAGTGTCGCGTGAATATTTTCTTTTTCATATATTTTATGCATTTCACAATTTTGGTCCCCATAAAATCCGGATGTGAGTGAATCAAGGTCTGCCCGTGCTTTTATTACTGACTGGGGCGGCCAAAGGCTACCCTATACACTGCCTTTCAGAAGACATTTACATGTCCAGTAAATGACTGACAGATGATGGAGACCTTTCCAAAAAGTGCTATTCGAAATAATATTCTGGATAGAATGGACACAGGGCTGGAGGGGCCTAGCCCTTTGCATCGGGTTGGTTATGGACATGAGGGCTCATGGCAGGAAGTAGAGCAAAAACGATGTTGGCATCAGAACATAGACATAAGCTTAGTTATCAAGTCCAGGGTAACCAATTTTAGTGGATTCTTTCGCATCCGCACCAATGATATCGCAACGATTTAGCCGACGATAAGATACGTCACTTTATATTTGTCAGGAATATTAGTTGGTGGAATGTTATTTATTTTTAGGCCATGCAGGCTCTAGATAATTCTAGCAAAGTCCCAGCATTCCATCCGTTCAGTCAAATCCACCAAATCATCACGCTTCGCCCCTCCGAGGGTCATCAAGTCGTCAACAGTATTTTTTTGTGGTCATTTTCGATTTCTCTCTTGTTTTGTTTCGTGCTGGTGGTGCGTTTATTTGCCGCAGCCAGAGCAAGAGCCTGGGAACAGAACAGTTAGCACATGATAAGAGGACGAGATAAGATAAGATAGCGAGATAGGGAAAACACGGAATACGCACAGGAAGAGCCGCAGTTGCAGCTAGAAGCGCCAGAGCATCCGCAGTCGCCAGCCATTGTGAAGAGTAGTTTGGTGTTGAGGTTGGGAAACCTGAAAAAGAGCAGATAGTTGGTGTGTAGAGGTGAAGAGATGTCGTTGTTGCTGTTTGATGGAGGAGGAGAGAGAGGGGGATCAGGTCCGGCTTAATATACCAGGGTGAGCACTTTGTGCGTTGTCGTCTGTTGCGCGGTTTGCGCGGGATCCAACCAACGAGAGCGAGACATTTGCCATTCCAGATACCCGGAAGAGGGTCCACCACCTGTAAATGGTTTAAGGCCGCCGATGGACGAACGCTGGTTGGTGATGGCATCGGGGCGGATGGAGTCGTGGTGGGGGAGCTCATGTCATGCAGCAGGTCTGCGAGCTGAGTGAATTTAGCCTGCCAACGAGAAACGTAGCCATGATCTTCGCGGTGGCAATATGTGCTCAATCTTGGCATTTGATGTGCAGACTAATCAGTCAGTCTATCTACAAATGCGTGTCTCTTGGTGCACCAGGCAGCTGTCTATGATTAATCTCATCCGTCACATCAGGCTCTGAGCACGCCACGGCCAGATCCGGAGCTGCTCGCGAATGGATGGCCTGGGCACACTGTATGCCTCGGACCACCACTGATCAACAGCGTCATTGTCGTCCGGTGCCCGACCAGGGCGATTCACGCCTCTAATTGGGTGGCATGTGAGCAAGTTTTGCCCAACGATCCACCCTTAGGAGAGGAAGGAGGGGTAGGAGGTACAGTTGTAGGACTGTTTACCTCCCGCTCCATTTCCACAGTAACATCGTTAGTTCAGGGTCCTGCTTTTGCTCCCCGAATGGAACACTGGTGGGATGCTGGTGGCAAGCTGGAGCCTGCTCATGTTCCTCAGCTTGTGGGGGGCTTATCTGCATCGTTTTTCCGGCCCGGAATCCGACTAGGCAAGTCCAGGCCGTGGTGATCGAGACCAGAGGCTGCATCAGTCGCTGATTGTCGACCCCTGTGAATCTGTAAATCTGGTTGTTGATGAGGGGCCTGGCCTCTGATGCGCAGAGCGTCTCACGCAGCTTGGCGGAGGAGCCAGTTTGTGTTGGCCGCCGCAAGGATTGCCCAGTTCGGGCGAGTGAATCATGAAACACACTGACTGGAGCTACGGACGATTTCATAGGTGCTTACTTCGCCTCGCCTTGGTCTTACTCGAGCCAACACGTACTGCATTGAGTCTGGTGTATCATGTATCCCACGTCGTGTCACTTTACTTTGCTCACCGTAACTTTCTGTGCTCGATGCGCGTAGGATGTGAGCTTTCTTGCATGAAACTATCGAGAATACTGGCCAATGTCGTGGTTTGGAACTAAAATCCTCGCGAATAGCTGGCCTCCGATCCACGTGGCTCGATCCTCGTCCCCGGGATACCCCGTGATGATTTGCACACTATCGCGGCGTGTCACTCGATGTCCGGAAAGATCCAGGGATGACGGCGATCGAGCCACCTCGGTAGTGAATCAGGAAAGAGGCAGCACCATGTCACCTCGGTGAGTTGACGCCCAACGGTTGCGGCATAGTCAGATCAGGCGGGGTGGCTTACATCGGCGGCCTGAATCGGCTCGACTGCAGACCGCCCGAGCTCGAGCAGACCACATCGTTGGGACTCCCGTCTATATCAGGCGTGCTATGAGGCAGACAGAGCATGGATCCTACCATGGAAGCACAAGCATCCTCGTCCACGTGCAGGAACTCCCGACTGGAAACAGTCACACGAATTGACCAAAGCGGTACTCCGACAGCTCAGATGGGTGGTACCGTCTCACACCGAATGCACATATGTGACGTAGGTTCATGCGATCGTGAGTTTAACAGGTTCTAGAGCCTCGTAAATTCGAGCCCGCGCCCGGTGAGACGTGCCACGTTGATCCAGCCCAACACAACGTCTTGTGTTATGCCCGTCAGCGGCTGCCGGTATTTGGCACGAGGTAAGCCAAATGAATTACACGGCCATCGCCCTTTCAAATGAAATGAAAACATCATTAAACAAAATTGAACTCAGTTGCGCCAAACACAGGCCAGCCAGCCAGCCAAGACTATGAAGACCGCCTAGCAAACCTCTATCACCATGGGTGGTAACAGCAAATCTACCAAGTCCAGATCCGACAAGAGAAGATCCGGCAGAAGCGAGTCGAGCAAGAGCAAAGGGAGCAGCAGCAGAGCAGAACTTCACATAAATCGCCTCTTCATTGTCGTATACCGAGGCGACCCGACTGACCATTCCTACTTGCGACACACGGCGCTCTTCGTCTCCACCGACGAAGGAGCGCAAAGCAGCCTCCTACATGCCATCGGCGAGCCTGGGAACTTTGAATTTGAGGAAGTCTGGGGCGCCCATGACCCTGCCGAAAGCCAGACATTTGTCGGACTTGTTGAGGTCAGCGTCTACGAGCATAAAGATGTGCGGGTGCTTCAAGACTGCATCTCTGGGACGCGCATTCGGAACGACCAAGACACCTGGGACTGCCAGACTTTTGTGACGGATGCTCTAAAGAGACTCAAGAGAAAAGGGCATTTACATGAAGATGACTTCCTCAATGGATTTGAAGGAATGATGGATATGCTGGAGACGGATAATAACCTTATTGACGATGATTGGGAAGAGTAGCGATGCTACTGAGCCGTTTCCTTTTGTCATAAGAGACACACGACTGGCGGTCGACTTTTACATGGAAGGACCTGATCCCGAAACAAGAGCGGTCTGTTTTCTGCTTCCTTTCTTCTGTTTTATGCTCATTAATGCCATCTTTACCTTCTGCATCTCCCGGAATAGCTCTTGGTGGACCATCATCTAATGCATCGAGCTTCGTTTCTCTGCATCCTTTTAAGAGTAGTGTGTAGAATATAGCGTTGATAGCTGCTGTAGTGAAAATACACGCCTCACCCGATGCCTGCTACTGCCCCTCAGAATCCGGTGCTTGCTTTGAACCAGCTATACGATCGTGATGAGCTCCCACTTCTTCCGCGGAAGGATGTTCCACATATCTTGAAAAATCACCGTACTCATATAAGAGGCTCGCACCCAAAAACCGGGACTTGTTTCAATAACCGGCCAAATGTAGATTCTGAACTTGCCACGAAACTTCCTGGGCTTTGTCATTTGTCCACCAAAGACGGCGACGAGCTTGATGTCCCGCAAAGATTCCTGGTTGCTTTCACCATTGTTGTCGTCTTGATGCTCCTCGAGGATCTCGTAGAATTTCCCCCCGATCATGATAGGGAATGGGTATTCCCGCCTCGTCATCTTAAGGCCAGAAGGTATATTCAACGATGATGTAGCTTTAAACCCCTCCGAAGAATCATATCGAAGCGTAGCTGTCTGTGAATAGAATATGAGAGCTCTGTGTTTCAGATAAGGGATTGCAGATAACTCTGCGGGTATTTCCGCTTCTACAAGTTCTGTCTTTCGATCTGGGGGAATTTCGTTAGAACCAGGAGATTCACCCAATAACAAATCAGCAATTGGATCAGGCCGGCTTCTCCAATGTTGCCCGTCTTGTATCTCAACTAATTCCGAGGCTCGTCGAAATGGTCGACCGTATCCTCACTCAGGAGGCCCTGGCGGCAACTCCAATAGACCAGCTCTGTGGTGAAGAACAAGATCCTTCTGGCTACCAAGGCCTCCTGGAACGTCCAGGCACGCTGTGCCCATGGGGTCCCGGATATCCACTCGGGTTCCTGGTACGAGGTCTGCATCCGTAGCTGCCGGTGATCTACAGAGTCGATCAGCGGAACTCCTCGGACCTCGAGTTGCTGCTGGACCAGGGTTCTTGTTCCTGGGCGAACGCCTGGGATACCCGCGTGGGCGTTGACGCCGGCAGCTGCAACAATGGTCAACACGCTCTGCCGATAAATGGAATCCATGCTGTCGATTATTTCGAGCATATCGGATTCATCGTCCTGGATAATACACAGACTGTCGATCCAGATGTACCGTATCTGTAGATTGCGACAAACCTCAATCGCGTCGCTGATAGTTAGAGGTAGCGGTGCGTTGCGTAAGCTTCCTGGTGTCATCAAGGTCTCTAAATTGTCCTTCACCAGGCGTAAGAACGGCTCTCTACCCCATACATAGCTCAGAGTCGCAAATGGAGGAGCTTGTTCATCCGTGTCCTCCCATATGCACATATCCTCGACATCCACCAGTCTAAAGCCTGGAATATGGGTTCCCTCACCGTCTTGTTGACAGAGATCGTGATCTTCGTGCGAAAGGCACAAATCCAACCACCCCCGTAGCATTGTGTAATCAACCTCGAGTGGCCGTGAGCGCCCGAGCGCAGCCTCTAGACTTGCTACTTGCGTTGCTGGCCGAGGCCCGTCACCGCAAACACTGCTGACCCTCCACCCACCAGCGGCGTCGTAGGTGATCGTGTCATCGCCGTACCCGCCGCCCTCTGGCTTGTGCGTGACCGGAACGCGTCCCCCAGGCCCAGCTCGCTGGAGCAACATTTCAAAGTAGAAGTTGGGTATGCCGCCGTACACCACGCTGACATCCAGCACGGTGCGGTGGCTGGTGCCTTCGAAGCCGAACGACCAGTTGCGGGCTTCTTTGGCGCCGTGCATGGAGATTTGGACGTGGGCATCCTTCGTCTCCTCCTCCGTTGGCATCGCTCGCTCTCCATCGCGTCGTCGAGGGTAGCGATGGCTGTCTGCCCACGTCGCCGGCTGCCTGGATCGGTAGTCAACCAGCCTCGCCAACCCCGCGCAGAATTCGCAGTTCTCGCCGCTGAGCTGCAGCTCCTTGAGGGTGAGCTCGGCTCGGGAATTGGAATCGCGGGAGGGGAAGACGTCTGTGCCGATGAGCTCGAACGCGAACGAGTCACACCAGTGTGTGCTCCCAACATCATCCATTATTTATGATTTATATGTATGGTGTTGGAGCTATTGTGTTTCGAAAAGCGTTGTTTTCTGCCTTGACCTACAGTGGGGCAGCTGGGCGTTCTCATCAGATCACGAGGCTGACTTGGAGACTTTGTCAGTGCTTGATAATGCCAGTCATCCCTGCCACCATGGAAAGCTTGAGTATATAGAATTCTCAAGTCTGTGAACCTGTGAGTGTAGTATGGTGTGTCGGAAGATATGCTGTGGTTGAGACTTGGGAAAATGCAACGTATGTTTCAATAATCGCATTGAGCTGTGAGCTTGAGTTTTTACGGTTACGGTGTTTAGGAGAAATGAATCAAAACGTGCTCTCATTCAAGATGGTGGTGTCCCAACAAATGGCTTTCTAATATCTTCGCTCTACAATAGGCTACTACGCCTTTTATACCAATTCGTCATGAAAAATGAGATTGGTGGATCAGTGTTGATGCCACTGTAGCTGGTCTAGGTCAAATGCCGATCCCTCGAGTTGATAGCTTGAGAGCTGGTCAACGATCCATGCCGTGTCAAGATACGCCGCTTGAGACGAGGAGGGTAGTGTGTGCTGTGGCTGAGGTAATGTTGATACCGGTGGTATCGGGGACGGGTTGGTCTGGGGCACAACCGCGTGGAGCTTGGGAATGATCGAAGGCACATCGCTACATAATCCGGATGTTCCTATATTCTTTTCTCGTTGCCGCCAAGCCCTTAGAATAGCCAGGCCCAGAGTGACGTTGTCCTTCACGGACATGTCCCATAATTCTGTGTGCCAGCGGTACGCACATTGAAGCAGCTTCCAAGAGCGATCGACCAACGACCCCTGAGCACGGTTCTGGAGCTGACTGGCGATGTACAGTATTGCGTCGCTCTCAAACTGGACTTTTGGAAACCATAGGAAGTTCGTGTCTTTGATTTGCTCGTACATGTCAAAATGATGCTCAAAGTGGGTGAGGCAGATTCTGAACAGATTGTCTTCAGCGCTGAAGATCTCTGTGCCCCATTCGGGGAGGTCGTGCATGGGGACCATGATTGACATCAAGTCTCCGATAATACAGCATCGAAACTTATCCGCCATCAAATGGACTCCGCTGACCGAAGGGTCGATGTAGTTGCTTGCTAGCAGCTGGGCGTTGAGGTTCTGAACCATATCCTTGTAAGTTGTCAGGGCGTGATCTCTCGCCTGAGACCTTTCGGCCCCGAACCCATGTGACAGCGTGTGCAAGTCAGTGATACGAGTCTCAATAGCAAATTGACAGAAGTGATAGAGTAGCAAGCACAAGGCCATCTCTGTTGGGGCCTCGCGGGACTGAACCGGCTCCATGAAAGACGGGTAAAGATCGGCATCGTTCACATTGTGCGGGAGTTGGGTGTCGCACTCTTTGATTTTCAAAGGCTCGCCGTAACCTGACGCAAGTGAATATTTCGTCTCCGATATCATGATACGCCACCATAGGCGTCTTCTCATCTCGGCCTCGAAGGGTGTGATGTCCAGCGAGCTGCCATCTCGGTGGAGGCCTAGCTTCAAAGCCATTCTGACCATGACACCACTGAGGATCCAGGTTGTGTGGCGGCTGGTGCGGCCGTGGCGTGACTCCTATCACATGGGTCAGCAAGTGCTTTTCATGGTGCCTTGATGAGGGCCATTCTTACTAGGAAGAGGACCAAGGCTTTCAAAATCGTCGTATCAAATGTCTCCAAGAACTTTGCCCGATATAATGCTGCTTTTGTGCCTAAAGTGAACTTGTGAAGGGCGTCATCCCTGGACATATGGAGCATTTCCAGCGACTCCGACTCTGTCAAAGTGACTGTAGATATTAGGTAGATAGAGAAGAGCAAAGCCTGCGAGTTCATAGGGATACTGGAATGGCGTCCTGAAGCTTCAACCACGAACTGCTGCATGCTCGGCACGTGAATGAGCTTGGTCAGCGGGTTGACTCTCTCCAAAAAGATGTTCCACAGCCAAAAGATTTGAGCTGGAGAAGGAGTGACGGTTTCGAGGTCGATGAGAGTGATGTCGTCGAGAAGATTCTTTTCTAGCCGAGGGGGCATGGAAGAGTCTGCCTCACTTGGGCTGCCTTCCTCATCTTCCAATATCTGACGAATGGATTTCAACTGAGGCAACCATTTGTCAGATTAGAAAACGTCAAATGGGGTAACATTTCCCCCAACTGGAAGCGAAGGAAACATTTGTTTACCTGTCCTTGGATAGTAGCCCATGGGAATGAGTCCACATACTTTGCGTTACCCCCCTCGTCTACGAACGAACCAATCGGTTTTGATGCTGCAGAGACTTTCACGTCGAAGCTTTCCTCTTCAGAATCAGAGGCGCTTTGGGACGCGTCTGTGTTACCGGTGGTGTGATCATACGGGGTAGAATGGGAGGTCGAGGTACCGCTCCCGTTTGGAGGTGGCGCAGATTCATACTGCTTCAGCAAGGCTTCGCATTTTGCCAATCTCTCCAGCAGCACCTCGTTCATGCGCCTCCGCTTCCGCGGTGGAGCTGGAGTCGAGGGAACACAGGTAATGCCGCTCTGCGCCTGTTAGATTTGAACGACCAGAGACTTCTGGGTGTGACGGCGCTGACCTTTTCGCAATTCGTGCATGGTGTTCGTTTGTCGCATTTTATCTTGCGCTTCTGACACAGGACACAGGATAAAATCCTGGGGGATCTACCCGAGACGGACGTACTGGTACTCATTTGGGGAGCTTGGTCGTCTGTGACTTGGACCGCGAAGATGATGCCGTGGCCGAGCAAACGACCCACAAGTGTCAGGTGTGCGGCTACGAGAGATACTGACTGTAACCCAAGAAGAGGTTATCGAATGCCGGTCAAGAAGAAGAGCACCATGCGAAGATGAGGGAGTAGGACCCTGCCCAGTTTAGGCAGAATACTGGTTGGTGGAGAACGGGGACTACGGAGAGCTGAAACAACCCGCGACCCCGATGACACGACATGTGAATTAATCATCTTGAAGGACCAATGACCGCCTGTTTTCATGCATGGGCGGGTGTCACTGGGAGTTTCCTGCGGTATCCGACCGTTCCGAGACAGATGCCATGTGGTAGGTGCGGCGGCAATGCATCATGGTCGATCACTCGACATAGAGGCCATCCCTCAATGCGTAACCCCATAGATTCATCGATTTCTAGATGCAAATAAGCTTCTTGGTTTCCCCTGAACTAGTAGTCCTTGAGGTATATCCGATGGCGCCTGTAGTATGACTGCAGAGTGACCACCTGGTATCCGCGCGTCAAATGCTTGCTGAAGATATCAGATACAGTCATTCACAAGTAGTCCAAAACAGAAGGCCCTGCAAATATCCCAGAATCACTTGAAGTCTTTTGGGCGACATCTATAACAAAAGCTCCGTTTTGGACTTCAATCCCGTCGCCTTCCTCTGGTGTAAAGTGTGCGCAAGGCAACGAAGGTTTCTCAGACAACATTTCACTCTCAGGCATCGCACACTCCGAGCCCTGCCAGCAATGGATATTCCTGTAGATACTCCCTCTTCCCAGCACCTTTTCGGAGAGTTCGGATAGACTGAGCTTGATTGCCAGGCACCAAGCCTGGTCCGCCTCAGTGAGGCCGGCCTCATCTCCAATCTTTGTGCAGGTACTGGACACCAGGGCAGCCAGCTGGCGAATGATGGGCGCCGCGCGATGGGCAGGCGCCCAGTGCTCTGGGAAGGCGGCGAGAATATCGGCGCACATGGATATTTCTTCACGGGCGCGGGCGCACTCTGCCACGCTTTGGCGAGACAGGAAACAGTGAAGAAACACCATGCACACGGGAAATATCCTACAGAGCGTGAGGCGGTTCAAAGGCAGTTGTCGCTGCTGGAACCGTACAAAATTAGCCTGGACATGCTTCCTCGCTAATGAAAGCAACTCGCCGTTGGAAAGGAGCATTGTTCCCGGGTTGAAATGAAACGGATAGTAGAGAAGAAGCAGGAGGTTGTAGTATCGCGCCGCAAGCCAGCATATTCGAATATGAATCGTCATGTCGTCGAGCTCGTTGGATTGCAGGAGACAGCCATTGCTGTACCAGTCTTCTATCTCTGCCTGGAGGCCCACGACAAGAGTGTAGCGGTCCTCTCGCATCAATGTGCTGGTAGACTTCTGGTCTCGGAGGTGTATTTCTTGGAGGACTTTGTATTCAATTATGCGGAGTTGTATAATGTGCCGGGAGACCTGGAGCACGTGCGCTTGCTCCTGGCGCTGGGGCGAATCAAACTCCTCAACGGTGATCCGAGGTAGAGGTATGTCCATATTGGCATCGATCATGGCTACCGGTGTGCCGGTCGTGAATGCAACCATTCTGTCCAGAACGTAAATACTCCAGAACAGACGATGATTTCGTTCCACCTCGGCCGCAGAATAGCCCTTGCCAGCAGTGTCCCCTTTTGTGAGACCCAGGCGCAGGGCCTGCCGGCCTAGGACATCGACTATTGCCCATGTGTTCATTCCGGCGGGATCCGATTGGGAATAGATTGCAAGCAGCAGCAAGATCTGGAGATTTGCTATGCTTTCGTTCATCATGCACTTCGAGGCCGATCCTTCATAATCAACGTCGAACAAGACTGTTCCAGAGTCAGAAGGGGTTCCAGGATCCTGGGTCGCCCTTTGCAACGTTACCGATCCGATGGCCATGACAAGGAATAAAATCGTGGCTTCTGGGTCCTGGCCTTTGCTTGACAGGATGTCCTTCTCACTTCTCTTCCTCACTAAGCAGTGCATTCTTACGAAGAAAGGGGTACGCGCGATGAACGTCTCGGAAGTATGCATCTATTAGAGCGTCACAAGTGGCTTCGAGGGGGGCTGATTCTGGGCCGTGGACCTGGTTCGGTTCGTCTATGACTCTTGAGCGGTCGGTAGGTTGCTCATCCTGCAGGAGACGCCGCCGCTTCAACTCGCGCTCCTCGGTTGTGTGGTGACTTGAGTGGGAGACACGACGCCGTGCTGCATGAGCTGGGGATACTGGTTGTACTGGAAGCCGTTATGAAGGAGGTGTTCGCAACGCTTCTGGTGGTGGCTCGAGCCGCACTTGTTCGATATATCTGGGTCATGTATTGGTAATATTTCAGAGTAACCGTATATCTAATCTAAATTTTGAAAATACCCAACTTAAATCTAGCCCCTGAGTACTACTACTTTAACCTGAGTATTCCCAGATATACCCCGGCCGAAGGTAATAAATAAAAACTAACAACCTACGCTCGTAGGGCATACAGTTATTATCAACGTTTTATTATTATCTGCTTTAAATACTAAGGCATATTGTAGAATATCTAATAGGGCTTGCTTAGTCCGCTCTAATGATCTAGAGCACTATCAATAGCCCTGAACCATGTATGGTACTGTGAGCATCCTGTTATCGGCCACACGATTTGGTCACAGTGTTCCAAGATGAGATTCTCCACATCATATTTGTAGAGCAGGATGTCTCGTGATTTCGAAGTGGTCTGTGTCGCATCAGATTGACTTCATATCAGCCTTTGACAAGGACCAAAAAGAAAGGAAATAATGGAGAGAAAAAAATTCTTCTCAACTTTATTCCAATGTATTTACTTGTTTTTAGGTATTGACCTACTCATGGTTCCTCTAAATAGAGTAGGCGAGCTGTGGGAGTTGTTTTGATCTCCACGGTCAACAGACCTTTATTTGCCTCCCATTCCAAGCCAGTAGGCATGCTCTTTGGGTAAAGGCACTCAGATTTGACACCCACACCCACTAGATGGCGTATTGGGATACTAAGATGGCCACTGCTCCTTTGGAGTTCTGGGATCGAGTGTGTGCTGCATTCAAACAAGCCAACCACAAGGCGGAGCCCCAGACTGAAACTTGCTAGCCACTGATACTCGCCTCCGCTTTGACAATAATGAGAATGGCATGTGAAAGTGGAACATGAAGAAATCGAAACACCTTTGCTTACAGTTAGCTGTCTCAGAAGCCGCTGCTTCTAGAAGATTATTAGACAATGCCCCATGCCCACATCCACTTCGCTTGAAAAAAAACCGAAAGTTCCGCGGTAACAGATCGGTTGACAAGGTTTTTCTGAATAGTTTTGAGCAGTGGCATCCGTTAATCTTCCGATTCCGTATTCAAGAAGGCAATAATTTACATTTCGATTGCCTCGTCCATGCGCTATAAGAAAGAAGCTAGAACTCTCTGGTGCAAATCGTCTTTTCTCAATATGCCTTTGTTTGGCCCTCTTGAGCATACGTTTTTGGTAGGACCTTAATCTCTTTGTTTTCATGTGTACGTTTTCAGCTTCGATTCTTCACAATGGACGAGGATATCAGAACTTCTAATGGTCAAAGGGTGCCCAGCTGGTAAGTCAAATGTTTTCCCAAATACTCTATAAGCTAACAAATATATACACCTAGGGACGGTCACATCCTCCTCGTCTTCTCCTGCATCGCCCTCTACAACGTCATCGAGCTCACATACATCATCTGGATCACATTTAAACGGCACTCTGGCGCATACTTTTGGACCTTTTTTGTTGCGACACTTGGAATACTTGTCCACGCGATTGGCTTCATACTCAAAGCCTTTGGACCTGAAAACGGCGTCTACATCTACGTAAGCCTGATCTCAGTCGGTTGGGTGGCCATGGTTTCGGGCCTGGTGCTCTGGTCTCGACTCTACTTGATTGTTCATGCCAAACTCAGGTTGAAGGCCATTCTATGGATGATTAGTGTCAATGGCATCATTTTCCATATACCAATCATTGTCATGCTCTACGGTGCCAACGGTCCCAATTCCCAGCAGTGGGATCGTGTATTTGGGTTAGTCGTGCGACATTCAGCGATCAGCAGAGGCTAACAAACTCTATAGAATATATGAAAAAGTTCAAGTCACAGGATTCTTTCTTCAGGAAGTTATCATCTCGTTATTCTACATATACGAAACGATGGAGCTTAGCAAGCTGCGTGTCGTTATGGAGAATGAGAGCAGGTCTCGATTTCTAAAGCAGCACATGATCGTCGTACATATTGTGATTATACTTCTTGACATCACCATTTGGGACTCGAATACAGCGACAAATACAACATTCAGACCTCGTACAAGGCATTCGTCTACAGCGTCAAATTAAAGTTGGAGTTCAACATTCTGAATAAACTTGTTGAGATGGCTACTGGCAACAGCAGAATCAGCTCAGGAAAGCTCAAGTACGGACCCAAGAGCGTCGTCACAGGTGGTGCGGCGGACTGTTTACGACACGACCGAAATAGCAGTTATGGCCACCATGCCCATGCCTACCGAGGTGATGATGGGAATCAACCTACAAACGACTTGGAAGGGGTTCTGAAGCTCACGCCGGAGATCAGGACTACAGAGGGAAGAAAGTCAGTTTCCAACAGTGTTACAGAGGTGACGAGTGCATCACAGGGGGAGAGGTCAGCGTCGAGGACAGGCTTTGAGTGTTCTTCCAAGTCGTCATCAGAGCTTCATCTTGCCAGCGGCGGATTCTGATTATCCCACCGTTTAAACACCATCAGATTCGATCATATTTTCTCTCACTACTGTGAAATTTGAATAGAGCTCTCTGACATTAATAAATATTAACTCACTACACGGGCCAGGTCAGGGCAATACGATCACATAAAGAGCTAGCCACATACTCAAGTGCTGATGGAATGAAAATAGGTTCCTCTGCTAAAAGCTTCGCAATTATCGCCCACATATGACTTCGGGAGCCAACACACCTCGTGCGTCGCCGCCAGTTCTCGACTGCACAGAGGGCGAACCGTTATATATTACTTCCCCGGGCACATCATTCAACAGACCATGTGGCGCAGTGGTCAATGGTGCACCGCTCCGATGACGCATATGCCCGGCGATGTACTCGCACTGAACATAAGGCCGGCTCTAGGTGCGATGCCCTCCTGTTGACAGCAGGAAGGGTAGAGCCAGTACATCGCGCACGGCCGCTGCAACAGGAGCTCCTCGGTTCGAATCCAGGTTAGAAGAACTGTGACAGAGGCACATTTTTTTGGGTCTTTTTTTTGGTCTTGGTTTTTTGAATTGTATGTTGGTCCAAGTATAGTGATGTGTATCACGCCCTCGCTCGCACAGAGACTCTGTGACCAAGGCCATAAAAATTGGAAGACGGGTCCGTTACCAAGTGTATGCAACCAATTGATAACGTCATCCGGCGAAGCAAGCACGGAGTATCTTATTCATAAAAGAAACATACGCAATAACATTACTTGGCAGACCGTTGATTGGGCGGAATTTAAACTCAAGAATAAGCTCCAAGATCTGGACGTCAATCACCTTCCGTTAAGAGGAGGTGCCCGAAGCGAGATACCATCACCTGCCTGGTAGAGAGTAGCGGGGAGACAAATAACCTATGCCTGTGGGCTTATGCCAAGAGTTGTGAGCTCGCAGAGTGACATACCGAGTCTTCCTATCTTCTAGCGCTTCTTGGCTGGATGCCTGATGTATCAACACGGTGGGATCGTCGTTCCCCCGCTCATTCATTCAGGCTTTGGGGTTGCATTGCCGAAGAGAAAAGTTGCTTACGCCAGCCACTGCATTTGAAATGTCGAAGCCAAGCCTTTGTGAGCGGGGAGGCGGCCTCCCATAGAACGGTTGGGGGGAGCTCGGATTACCAAGCTCTTGAACATAAATAGAGGGGGACAGCCCTCATTTTACTGCCTCCTTGAATGCTATCTACATTCACATTCTTTCCCCGCCAGTCAATCTGTTGGATTCTATTTGTTAATAGCAATGGTTCGTCTAAGATGTTTGGCTCTGCTGAACCTTGCCATGGTCAGCATGACCAGCGCAGCTGGTGGTGGAACCAAGGAAGAGTATGACTCCGGAGCAGTCCATGCTAGGTTCATGAGTATCAAGATGGTGAGATATATGAAAAGCTCATTGAGAAGCTAATGACTGACCCGCGTACAGGCTCAATGGGCGGAGGAGGAAGCCCTAGGCAAGATGGATAGCTCCCAGTATCCTGCGCTGGGTTACACTCCTTGTGTCAATGGATTTGCTGCTGCCATACCCGGAGATGCCTTGAATACATTTAGATGCCACAAGTATGATACCCCGCTTCCGGTCTGACGTGATACAAGAATTGACAGAATCTAGCATCGACCTCTATTCATTCTTATCCCATGCTGATCTCGGCAGCTGGGGTGGACGAGGCTCTTCTTCATGGGGTTGGACCTCGGCTGATGGACGAGAGATTGTTGCTATAGGGCAGTACGACGGCACTGCGTTTGCAGAGATCACGAGTGAAGGCAAGCTTGTCTATCTCGGTCGTCTTCCCCAGTACGACAAAATTGGCTCCCAATGGAGAGAGATCCGGATCGTCGGAGATATCGCTGTCATTGGCTCGGAGGCGATGAGTCACGGAGTGCAATTCTTTGACATGAAAAAGACTCTCGACCTTGATCCAGCGAACCCCAAGAATTTCACGCAAGATGAACTTGCTGATCACTGGGACGAGCTCCCTGTCGGCCGTACGCATAACATCGTGGTCAATCACGAGCTGAACTACGCCATTGCGGTTGGGTCTGTTGGTGGCAATGAGACTGTCCGTGTCCGAGATCCTGATCTGCCTTGCCGTGGCGGCTTGATTTTCCTGGATATTAGTGATCCGACCAACGTCACATCTCCTGGCTGCGCTGCCGGTATGCTTTGACCCGCTATATGAGCTACGATCTGATTCTGACTTATTGATAGGTGATGGGTATGTGCACGATGCTGAATGTCTCGTTTACCGAGGCCCAGACGAGAAATATTATGGCCGTGATATTTGCTACGGCTACAACGAAGATACCCTGACCATCTATGATGTTACCGATAAGGTTGGTAATGTAACCAACATCATTTCGATTGTCGATTACCCCGGTGCCGAATATGTTCATCAGGGCGTCGTCAACAACGAGACTTGGCAAGAGTATCTATTCATCGATGACGAGTTCGATGAGCGTGATGCCAAAGTCGGGCCTATGACACAGGGCCTGCCTACCACTCATATCTTCGATATTAGGGACCTAGAAAATCCCAAGTATACTGGATATTACGCAGGCAAGACCAGGTCTATTGATCACAACCAGTACGCAGTGGACGGGTATTTGTACCAGTCTAACTACGGCAATGGCCTCAACGTGCTAGACGCCCGCAGCGTGACTAAGGATCCCACTGGAGGAAGCATTTGTGAGGCCGGCTTTTTCGATGTCTACCCCGAAGACGACGAGAATGAGGGTGGTGGCACTGTCGCCTTCCTCGGTTCCTGGTCAAGCTACCCTTACTTCAAGTCTGGTTTCATCCTGGTCCATACTATCGAGCGTGGCACTTTTGTCGTCAAGATGACGTCCAAGGAGTGTGCCAAGCAGCCGGTGTGTAATGCGGATAACTGTCTCCGTGCTCTGCGCGCATCACACATCCCGGGCCGGCTGGAGGAAAGTGTTGAGTTCTGCGGGAACTTTACTCGCCGCCTCAGGGATGACGAAGAGCTGTTGCCTCAGTATGCTACTGATGCCTGTAAGAACAAGCCGGTGGAGAGAGTGAGCAGTGCTTGTGCCTGTCTGCCAACACAGACTGTTCCAGAGCTGCCGAGAACGACAAGCCGCCCACCGCCACCAACCGTTCTGCCTGACAGACGATAATAGTACTAGTCATTACTAGGATACATCTGATAGGATGGGAGCTCTTGAATATCGTCTCACATCACTTTGAGATATATTTGACTAAATGAATCGATATTGATTCTTATTTATGCTATAATTAACTTATTAACCTTGCTTTGTTGGCCGCCTGCCAATCGTGGTGGTCATGGTAGTATGAATAGAATATGCATATTGCTGCGTCCGGCAACTCCCTGTCCGCTGTTTCTCTAGAAGGTGCTAATGCCGCATGGTATCTTATCAAGCAGTAAGACTTACCACCATGGCTCGATATGTATTCATCGAAACCAAGATGTTCGGCACAGACACATTGTTAGTAAGGTGCCGATATCTGCATTATGCGTGAGAGGGCAATCAAGTCTGCTGACAAACCCACCAGATAATTGGCTGTGGACTTCAATATAAATCATATCAAGTCAAGAAATAGGTTGAGGAAAGATTGAACAGATCCTTTAATGTATTGCATGCGGTCATCCATTCCATTTATTTTTCTAATGTAACAGTGAGCTTCTAGGTCGAGAAATAATTCTGCCCACTGAGACAGCGACAACGCATTGATGCCTTAACCACCGAAAGTGCAGTATTGGGCCAATGAAACTGCC